TGCAGCTCTGCCCAAGTCCTCTCGATCTTAATTCAAAATGATGACGATGAAGAAAATGGGTCTGTCAAAAAATGAAGATACCACAATGTGTGTGGTGTGCCATTGGCGCAACAAGGGTCCTTTACTTCTTACTAAAAAAAAAAAAAGGCATTTCAAAATACAACCGATGAGCTTATCTAATTCAAAATGATGACGATGAAGAAAATGGGTCTGTCAAAAAATGAAGATACCACAATGTGTGTCGGTGTGCCATTGGCGCAACAAGGGTCCTTTACTTCTTACTATTTAAAAAAAAAAAAAAGGCATTTCAAAATATTCATTCGTTTGTTCAGTCAAGTGCCATCTCTGTAACAAAGATTACCTGCAGCTCATTTCTTAGTATTTATATCGTGGCTGTGCATTCTTTTATTAGTTGGCCTCTTGATGTTATCTTTCCGCTTGTATAATTGTCCACCTCTTGTAATCTTTACGCACGCCTAATTAGCCACCTCTCGGTGTTATCTTTCCGCTGGTTTAATTATCCACCTTTTGTTGTTATCTTTCCGCTTGTCTAATTATCCACCTCTTGTTGTTATCTTTACGTTTATATAATTAGCCACCTCTTGCTATCTTTCTGCTTGTATCATTATTCACTTCATTGTGTTATCTTTCCGCTTGGGTAATTATCATCACCTGTCTTGCGTATTAGGATCCCAGTAGAAACTGCACTCGTGAACTAAACGCCCTAGTCGGTAAAACGAACTCACGACCTACAGAGCGCTAGGCAAATAACTTGACTACCACTCAACCCTCATGCAGGGTTAGCTTAAACCATGAACCTTAGAACTGATTTGCGTTACCAGCCTGCAACTAAAGTACACTTGGTTCTTCAGTAAAGCACTCATTGAGATGTAGCATGTGTCCATACTTTTTTTTATTGTTTAGTTTTCCGTGTCAGTTTTGGGGCTCCATCTTGGAGAACAAAGAAGAGACCAGCTGCTCCACAAGAAGGCAATCGTAGAAGGCGACCAGCTAGGAGTATTTCCGAAGAGGGAAGGAACCAACAGTCTGCACACAAAAAAAGCTGATATGTAAAACAGATGTGCACATAAAGCTCAGGTTTCGGATCAAGACCGAAGTCCAGGAGTAGATGAACAACCAGAACTTTCTGCTGGAATTTCTTCTGCCTTTCTCAATGGAGCAAAGGCCCTCATCCATCTCATGCCAAATCTTTATATCCTTCGCTTTCGCATGCAGCTCTTTAACCTAACTGGCTAGCTTCCCTCTCTATGTGCCCGTTGGTCTTCCGTTGTTTCTATGCCTCTGTGGGTTCCAGTGCAAAGACATTATCTTTATATTGTTCTCAGCATGTGTCTTATCCAACGCCAGTGCTCTATCCTCATCTCTTGATTCGCTGGAACCTCCACATTCCAGTACGACTCCACGTCTTCGAGTGGGATACCATTAAGAGAAACCACATTACTATTTGCCAGATTTATTCTTATTATCTTGATCTTTCCCTTATGGATCAAGACCAAAGTCCAGGAGCAGATACCAACCAAATGGTGCTATTGGACACATCCTGAGAAGAAACGAGCAGAGAACACCAAACAGGCACTGAAATGGGAAAATAAAGCAACTGAGGAAGCGATGACGTTCATAAGAAACTGGAACATTAATGAGAGAGGTCAAAGCTGCTGGAGTGGATTACATCTATGATATCGAGGGAATTGCATAGGGTATAAAGCAATGGAGAAACATACTGCAAGATCTATTTCTATTTGACATGTAATGGTACCAATGATTGATTAGTGCAGTGTTCTGTAACCGGTGGTCCACTGACCATTGTCGGGCTAAGCGATCCACTTAAAAAAATATTAAGCCCCGTCGTGTAGCGGCGTACTGGAGAAAGCCTTGACAGGAACTACATTTTGACTGAGCTAATGAGGCAAGGAACGTGACAAATGGAAGAGGAAGTATAGGCTATGCAATTTTTATCTTCTGCTTTCGACAGCATTCATGCTAAACATTAAGTCCCGTCTGGGTGGCAGACAGGACTGTGCGTCTAAGGTCGCCACCACCCAGCTGTCTTCTTTCCAGCTTTTCTTGTAATGTAGCTCCACTGGGCCAGATCACCAACCTCTGCAGTGGGAATAGATAGGACAGTTCTGCAGCACATGCTCAGGAATCTGTCTGCTCTCCAATCACATGTGACAGATTGTAACACCTATTTTGTGTAGGTGTGCTCTAAACCGCAGTGTCCTGTTTGAAGCCAACAAGTTGTTTGTTCTCGCTGTCACTTAGCCTGTGTCTCCATTCTGCCTTCTCCAGTCCCCCATGGAGGGTTTCTCTGTGGTGGATGCTGCGATAGATTACCCCCAGCTCATTTTCTCTCTCATTTCCTGGAATACCACAGTGAGTTGGTATCTACTGCAGGGGGTATGAGGTGCCAGTTATTGGTAATGCCTATCGTTGGGGAGCTTGTCATGTCCTTTCCAGGACAGCTTGTTAACCTTTGGTCCAAAACTGACACTCAGCTCTCACCTGTGTCTCCACGCAGCTGTCAGCATGGGAGAGCGGCCACCCCCCCCTTTCCCCCCGGCATTGGCTTTGACAGGCCGGCAAAACCAGGTGAGGGTAGCCGATGTGTTTGTTTTTTACCATTGGTGAGTCAGGATCTGCCTATCCAAGCATGCAAAGACTACTGTCGGCAGAATGCGCTGAGGAAACCACATTTGGTTCAACGGGCAAGACGGCGACACTAGCAAAGTGCTGTGGAGCACAAAGAGCATGGCGAGGCACGTAGAATGCCCTGGTTATCCACTACACCTAGATATATCTCCAGTCGTCCTGACTCTGTCTTGCCACTGGACCCAGAAATGACTAGGGTGAGAGAGTGAGGTCGACGACACTGCGCAACTCTTCCTCACTTTAATCCAAGTCACCACGCAAGTCATTCTTTCATCACTATTTCATCACTGCACGACCAGTCCTGCTTCCTTGGATATCAAACCAATTCTGGTCCTCAGATTTGCAATTAGTTTGCCTTGTTTTTAGTGTGATAGTGCTCGCAGATTATTACAATGTTGTGCCCTGTGTATCCTTGAACGACAGAAAGAAAAACCAAAGGAATTGAATGGATCTTATTGCAGCGTTTTCTCACTCAGAAACACATCCAAGACACTATATCAGATTTTCTGACCTACAAATAGCAGCAAATGCATTATTAGCTAATAACTGTAACTTTATAAATGAATTTAATACATAAAATACTGTGTACATTTAGTGAAGCAGTATAGCTTAGATGTTAGTGCATTTGTTTTTCAGTCCAATCTGTGAAGTACCAGAGTTCAATTTCTGCAACCCGCTATTTAGAACAAGGCCCCTCTTGCAACTTTTATTTTAGACATTGGTACAAAAGTATAAACGTTACCAGTCTGCTTCCTACAGATCCTTAAAAGAACAATCTGTGATGAGTGGATGACTCATCAAACGAAAGTGAGGGTAAGCAGGCATATGAAGAACACGACAATTCCTTGGGTCAGCCAAGCACTAGAGTGCCGTGTATGGGCTCAGTGTTCATAGAAGCTTCCTTGGATGGTAAAACATGACCATGTTCTGCCCCTGCCTTCCCTTGAGCCCGCTCCCCAACAACCACAACCAGGTATTAAAGTTCCAGTCCAAGCCACTCATTTTGGTGTAATTAACATTTCTTAGTCAACATATTTGGCACAAAGAAACCAGACCATGATTATAGCTGATACTGCTTGCAGTAGGTTAAACCTGGTCGTTTTTTCCCCCCATAAACGGGTGGACTTGAGAGCCTACAAGGTCTACTAAGGGTGGGCATGGCGGCAGCAGAATGTGTAAACCAGCCGACATCACAACAATGAGGATGGGCAGTGGTCTACGAAACTGACCCTACTTAAACATGCGTAACTCAATTGTTTCCTATGAAAGACGATAAAGAATTCGCAACTTTCGCTGAGTATCAGGAAATGTCCCAGGAAGTAAAGAAAGCATATATGATACTGACATCACCCAGTGAATACCCTGGTCTATAGATGCATGAGTCCTGCATCACAGTGGTAGGGAAAAGAATCCTTTACTTCACTACTCAAAATCAAACATAAAAAAAAAAAATTCACACAGAAATCTATAACAGTTTGTTAAACAAAACGATGAACAAAGGAAACAATTTTTTATTTGAAACAACTAGCTGAAAACTACATTCAAGTTCAAAAAGATGTTTATATATGCTTCACTGTCTGTCTGAAGAAATCAGACCAAGTTTGTCAAAAAAAGGTGAAGACTTTAGATAAAGTCCACTAAAGCAAACAGTATGTCTTACAAGACTGCCTAAACCTTCCAGTCAGAGAGAAGGATTCTGGCTCACAACAGTGATCCTGCAAGAAAAACTACAGGGCGCCGGAGAATAATTCGTGCACAGCCTTGTCTGTGTCTTGTGACGGAACAGATGCATAGCAAATGATCACCGAAGAAGAAAGCTGAGACCATGATGGCACAGTGATTACTCATTACAAAAGGATGTGCAGGGTCTCCTCGACTTATGAGCAAGCGAGTTCAATTCCCTTTTTGAGGTCAATATCCAAATTGGCTGTAAGCTGAATTTGTACTTTTCTAACACTATTTTCATTCAAAAGAGCTAAAAGAACTGTACATAAAATACAAAAATGCAATCTATGTACGTATAATAACTGTACATAATGTGAAAAATACATTATATATATATATATATACTCTACTGTTTTGATTCTTCCAGTGTAATCTTTCTTTATTTACTAATATTATTATTTATTTATTTTTGTGGTCGTAAGTGAGGATGTTTGTAAATCACATAGGTCATAAGTCGAGGAGAAGGTGCACATCTATGTGACTGGTAGAAGGAAACAGTCTACCCATGTCATAAATCTAGCACGCACCAAGCCGTTTATATTTTATGAAACATAACAAATTGCAGTGAGCATAAATAATCCACATCCATATGTAACGCTGCTTGACTAGAAAACTTCACTGTACGAGTCTCCATCCGCTTTAGAGTCCCCTGCTCCTGTCTGATCACCTTCTTGATCCATTTCTACTTCACTGTCATCATCATCCTCAATACCAGATGCATTCTGCTCATCATCATCATTATCCCCAATGTTCCCATCCTCTACAACAGCGGCAGTTGTGTTGTTGGAGCTGGTGGTTGAAGTCTGTGTCAGGATCTCTTCACCCTGCAAGTATTCATGTTTTCATGCTTTCATGTACATGTGAATACGATGTTAAATCATTCCAATTTCAACCATATATGATGAACAAAAGAAAGAAAAAACTACACTGAGAAATCAAACCAATTATTCATAAAAGAAATTTACTTCTTCTTCTTAAAGTCTATGCCCTGTGGCGTTAGTAGTCATGTCTATTCAAGACCTTCTGTCTCATGTACTTTCAGTCAACTTTGACACAGATGATCTTCCATGCCATGACATCAAGCTATATAGCATCTTTTTTTCTCGGTCTCCCTCTGCCTCTCTTCCACTCCAACTTTCCTATTTTCACAATGTACTCTAGTTTTTTCCTTCTGATCACATGACTATAGAATGTAGATTGTCTCTTTCTGATATGGGAAATCAGTTCTCTTCCTGAGCCAGTTTCTTTCAAGACATCTTCATTACTCTTTTTATCTGTCCCGGGTATTCTCATCATCCATGTATAAAACTAGATCTCTGCAGCTTCCAAATAATTATTCACTAATCTACCAACTGTCCATGATTCAAATCCATATAGCAAGATAGGATTTATATAGCTTTTAAGAATTCTGTTCCTCGTTTCAATTGACAAAGAAAGATTGCATAAAACATGAAATTTACTTACATATCGAAAACAAATATTCAGTAACACCAAAAACAAAAATTCACTCTGTGAAACCAAAAACAAATTTTTACAGAGGAAACGGGAAACAAATATGTGCGGAGGCAATACAAATACCTACACCAATGCATAGAGAAAACAAAAACATATTTATATTAAGAAGCAAAAAAAAAATATTAAAAAAAAATCCATACAGAGGAACTACACACAAATATTTGCACAAATCTATAAAGGTTATCAGGGAGGCTTCAGTGCCTGTGTTATAATGTCGGTTTGTTTCTGTTTTGTCAATTACAGTTACAAATGCCCCCCTGTGGAAAGAATTAAAAGTGCAGTTTGACCCTGACAGAAACAAAACAAAAAATTAGATAGACATGTGAAGCTCAGACATTCACATGCCAAGTTAAAGAAACTGGTAAATAGTGAAACATGAAACAAGTTACTCAAAGGAGCCAAAGTAACGTGGTGGTTAGTACATTTCCCTACCTGCCCTGTGGTTAAATGTTCAAACTCCTACAAGACAGATAATTTCTCTTTTTAACCCGACCTGTCCCCCCCCCCCCCCCCCCCCCCCCCACCCCCAGGTCAAATCAGTCTAAAAATGCAGCCTTCTAAACAAAACAAAACAAAAAAAGTTAGTTGCACATCCTTTATAGGATGTTGCAGAACTAACTCTAACATTTTTGGCTGTTGTGGTTTTTGTAGGCAAACTGTACGATTAGTAGTTTGCCACTGCTTCTGAACGGTCAGCTCTCGGTACCAATATCAAAACCAACAAAAGACAAACCATTCTCAGCTGGGACTGAACCCGGCACTATGAAGCGTGTTCACAATGCCTAAGCCACAGATGCTGATAACCTCCTCTTTACAACGAACTAAAAAGTGGTAAATACAGACAGTAGAGACAATTCTGGTAAAACTAAGAAGAAGCAGACCACTACATAAATATACAGTCTGGATACCTGTAAGTTCCTGTTCTTAAGATTGCCCACCCAGAAAGCATCTTGGCAGTTGTTGAGTGTCAACATGGCCTTGACTCTGTACACAAAGGCTTCTAGAGCTCTCTTCAAGGGTGGCACTTGGTTTGTTAGGGCCATGTCTTTTGTAATCTGCAACAAAACAAAATCCTAGATCTCTAGCGTTCTTGTCCTAACATGTTTCAGATTGTCAAATGTCTTACTACGGTTATTATTTTTTTAACATATTTGCATTAAAATCTCTAATATTTACTTTAGCGACTCTATAACTTGTAATCTATGTCAGTAAATTTCTTTAGAACTTATATGTCAGTACATCTCATTAGAACTTATAATATTTCAGTAAATCTCATTAGAACTTGTAATATTTCAGCACATTTGATTAAAATTTCAGCATATAGCATTATAATTTTTAACACAATTCAGCATATCTCACTACAACTTATAACATGTTTCCCCATATGCCACTTGAACTTGTACACACAAGTAATTCTGCATTCCTCACTATACATTTTAAGTTTCCACACACCTAATTTACACTTCTATCCAACTGAAAAATGTAATAAGTTCTCTTCAAGTCTCACTGGAGCCTGTTAAACACTGCAGTAAACAACTGTACTGATTAAAATCTCATTAACAGACACAAATTTTAAATGAAATGCAGCCCAACCGCTGTGGTCAGTTTTGTCAATGAAAATATTTATTTCTGTGTTTATTTAAAATACTGAAATGAAATACTGGTAACTGTAAATATCATCTTTTTTATCATATGGCAGGCATAGGACACACGTTGAGAAAACCTGAGAATAATTTAACTAGAATGTCTTTGTACTGGAACCCACAGGGGCATAGAACATGAAGACAAAAAAAACATGGAGAAAGAGAGCTAGAGAGTGAAGTTAAAAACATGGGGAGGTCATGGGTAGAGCTGCATGTGACAGCGAAGGATAGAACAACCTGGCGTGAGTTCGCTGAGGTCCTATGCTCTATTGTGGGACAGAAGGCAGAAGAAGGAGATGTGATTCAGATAAGCTGTATCTGTGTGTAAGCTTATTTCATTGTATTTAAAATTCTCATTTTGGCTGTCAAATACACAGGTGTTTTTAAAAAGTTATCAATTATTAAAAATAACATTTAAAAAAAACTTTTTAAAAACATTTTTTAAAAATATAAAAAAAAGTAAATGACCCTATTCCACACACTTTCAGGTGTATTGGGCACAGAGAGACAGACCTATATTTTATAGATTAATTGGTACTCAATAGGTGAAGTAGTCAGCATCACACTAGTTGCCTTTACTTTCCATGACTTTACCTGGTGCCCATTTAAGGCTGGGTCAACCTAAGAGCCAAGGTCATTTTGGAAAAAGTCCAGTTTTAAAACTATGGTATAACAAAAACAACATGCACGAAACAAACTATTGCTAAAATGCCGGTGATCAATTTTCTCTAACTTTGAGAATCCACACAAACAATGTAGAGCTCCAGTTAAAAATTCCCAACCTTACAGTGGCTTCACAGATGATGTAGAACTCTAGTTAAAAATTCCCAAACTTACAGTGGCCTCACAAATGATGTAGAACTTTAGTTAAAAATTCCCCACCATTGAGTGGCCACACAAATGATGATAAACTCCACTGCTATCAAAATACCCAACCTCTGATTGGCCAAAAAGATGATGTAAAACTCTCTACAAATGCCCTACCTTTGAGTGGCCACACAAATGATGTAAAACCCGAGTACTTTGCTGCAAAGAACGCAGAAGTCTCTCCACCACGGCATGATGGCGCCGGAAGGTCACATCAAACAATGGCATGCCCTGGCGAAGGAAAATGTCCACAAACTGGCGGCCATATTTCAGAGCTGTTCCCAAGTTGCTTCTGGCGGTAAACATCTTGGTCAGCATAATCGTCACATGCAGGACCTTGATGGCCATGCCCCAGGATAGAAGCCTCTCCTCTCTGACATCCTCCGATTCTGACTTCTTGCCTGCAGGTATTCTCTTGATGTTGTTGATCAGCTCTGCCATGACAACCTTGTAGTACACTGCGAATGTCAGTCTGAAAATCACAAGTTAAACAGTGTCAATTCTTTGATAAAATTATTGTCTGTAGCACATGCTCATTTCATCCCACTTATTCAGTTTATGTTTATAAATAATTTCTTTTAAAAAAAACAACAACTAAAAATAAGAACTGTCAAATGGTGCATCTGTAACAGATCAGCCAGTGAAAACGTGAGTCCTGCTTAATAAGTACTGGGATATTTCTCTTCAAGCACAGCAAGAGCCAGGTTTCTCTGTTGTATCTAAGGTTAAAGGTTGAAGTCGAGAGAATTAACTACATTGCACCAGGTTTTATCCTATCTGGCCTCGGTCTCCAACTGGAGAATGGCACAGCAAAAGCCAGGTTTCTCTGTTGTATCTAAGGTTAAAGGTTGAAGTCAAGAGAATCCACTTCATTGCATCAGGTTTTATTCAACATGGCCTCGGTCTCCCTCAGCAGAACGGCCAGTCGCAGGAACTCTGTAGCTCCGGCGACAATTCCCAGGGATCTCCGCAAATTGCACTTGTGATTGAAGAGCGTAGCAGTGAAATGAACCCATGACCTTCACAGCATGAGGAAAAACGGCTTGACCACTTCATCGTGGAGAACCCCTCTGTTGTGTCTCAGCCTGTGCATCTTTTGAAGTAATCCCTGGTACTTCTATGGCCACATTTGCTCGGTCTGGACTGCATGTCCAGGGTTCTGGTCAAAGCTGTTCACACAATGTAGCCTCTGGCCCCAGTGGACATTGGTGCTGTATGTATAATTCTCTATACTCTGGGTAAGGGGGGGGGGGGGGGGGGGTTACTAGCCATATCCAAGAAAGAGGAAATGCACACCAGGCTCATTATCTTCGTTACAAGCTGGACTAGGGTGGATGCTCAGAGGGACAGAGCACCATCGCTCTTCTTCTTCTTTTGTTGTTGATGCGTTCACTTGCTGCAAACCCCTGTGGCAAAACCTGGTTATTTGTCCATATCTAGACTTCAGCTTTTTCCCAGCAGTTTTGCATGTGCGCCCGTTTAACAGATCTTGCTTATTGTTATGCAGATTGTTGGTTCATTGCTTCTCAGGCACATGTACTCTGACTGAAGGAACCCCCAGTTCGTTGACTCTAATGACATACTTATTGGGGTGGCAGTTGTTCTATTCTTGTTTTAGCCCACAATGGTACCTCTGAACCCACATGGGGAACCACTCTTCTGCATCATGTTCCAAAATAGTAATCCTTAAATTAAAAAAACGGTCACCACAGATGAAGTAAATACTTATGGAAATTGATGGGTCTAACTTTACAGACAAGCTGAGCTCACTCCATGAGTCTAGCTCCACCGTGGGAATACAGAACAGAATTATGGATGAGCAGGATTTAGGAATCATACTGACCAGTATGACTTCACATGAGGAATCCTAATCTGATAAAAGGAGGAGCTACCACAGACTCCACTGCGAAGCTGGCCATGAACTAAACTTTGTACAGAAGACTGCAAGAGAACAATGACAGACAAGCAGCACCCACAACTTGCAGGCACCACTTGGAGTGCTCAAGGGCAACCTCAGAATGAGTGCCTTGCTTGTCTCTTTTCTTCAGTCCATATTTCTCCCACATATATTAGTTTTATATAGTTACAACTATTATATGTGGAAATTGGTTATTAAATCAGTAATCAATCAATTTATATATAAAAGTTATATAGAATCAACTGGCTTTTACAAAAAACTTTACATCCCTATTATGACATTTTCAAGTAAACTGCATAGCTCATTACCTATTACCAAAGAAAAGCATACCTATTCAAAGAACCAAACTCCTCCGATCTGGCATTCTTCTCTTGGTTCATCAGAGTTGCCAGGCCTTTGGATGCCACATTCTCCAAGGCTTCCAGAGGTTCTGGGCTATTCTCCAGAAATATTTTGATCACAGCCTGCAGGTTCTCACAGTGCTTGGCTCCTTTCATGTGTTCTCCATTAGGACAGCGCCAGTCTCTACTCAAGAAGCTCTTGGCATGGGTTGCTGCAACATTGTATTTACATCCTCTATCAAAATGAAATTGACAAACAAGCCAAACATAATTTCTGACAACTGGAAAAAAGTATGGGAAGAGACAAAGAAAAATAACCAATAAAATTACTTGACAGACTTTCATCACTTCACAGAAGAGTGTTAGCAAACGAACTAATGGCGAAGTGGGGAGAAGCATGACCGATAGGCACTTGATGATGATACCTACTCAGTACATTTTAGATTACTCTCAATTTGAATTTAATTCAATATTAACCTCTCTCTTTTTCTTCTTCTTCACCTTCATTATCTGCAAACTCTGGCATTTATAAAGTTCTGGCTGTTTATCTTCTTCACCTTCATTATCTGCAAACTCTGGCATTTATAAAGTTCTGGCTGTTTATCTTCTTCACCTTCATTATCTGCAAACTCTGACAGAAAGTTCTGGCTGTTCATCTTCTTCTGAACTTTAGTATTGTTCCAGAACCTGAGTTCTGCACCCACATCTGTTTCACAGATCTGGTTTATTTGTAGGCGGACGGTTGGTTCTTCACCTATCAGGCAGATGCAGTCCAACTTCAAAGGAAACATCTCTAATTAGTGGACTCTCACATCAGGCTTGTTGGGGGCAGTGGGGTATATTCTAGTTTCCCCAACAAACGTTTGTTCGGAGTCAGGAGCCAATTTTCACAGATACTGTTAACACCTGACCACCCAGTGAAACTGAATGCTTTATTAAAAAAATATATACTTGACCAATTTTTATTATAGCTATTTATATTAAACTTTCCAAAGAATTTTTCAACAATTCACGTAAAGATAAAAAAAAAAAAAGAGTTTAAATATTTAAAAAATATATATATATATATATATTAGTTACCAAGTTGCCCTTTTAGTGCAGTTTGATGGCAGTTCTCAGCCAAAACCATGAGTAACTTCAGTAAAGTGACTGCTGTATCCAGGTTAGGCACTGTCTCTACCAGGTTGCCAAAGTACTGGAATGACTGGCTGCAAACAAAGTCAATGGAAATGTGTATTTATATACAGTACAACCAATATGTTAAATGCTAATTATTTGTAAATTTAGGATAGGAGTCTCCACAGTGAAGCAGTTAAGCTGTTTGTCTTGAGCTCTGAAGGTAATGGGTTCATTCTGGACTGTTTTGTTTGGCTCATGGGCATAATTTTTTTTAAGGCAATCCTTATGGGGATTATGGGCAGAATTCATGTTTTGAGTGGATGACACAATAGGCGATGGCTGTAATGTACTATAATATTGGACTTACCCTGGAACAATTCCCTATGAAATCTCAGAGCCCATGAGATTGGGTGTGATGAAAGAAAATAACCCTGACTTTTATAAGAGATGCTTATAGTTAATTATTGAAACACCTGAAGCACATTAACACTGTGATTCACTGTGGTTCATGGTCAGCCGCCAATGAGAACAAACTGTCAGAATGTGTTTACAGTTCACCCGAGGAAGACTGAACTACATATAAAAGAGTTCTATTTTACTATTACTGTATTTCCCCAAATACAAGGTGATCCCATGTATACAACACACGATTTGGGGACTGAAATTGGGGGGGAAAGGGGGGGGGGGAGGGGATGATTACAAATAAAACAACTTATTATCTAACTGACTAATACTAAACGCTATCTATCAGCTGGATTATAGCAGCTATTATTATATTTACTGAGGCAGAAGCAAATGTATTGCATGCCATTGATAGGTTCTGTGCCCCTTTGATTGTCTTGCTATGTTGTAACCCTCAAGCCCAGAACAGGACATATAATATTCTAATTACCTGATGTATAACACCGGAAAACCATTGGAACCACTATCAAGATAAAGGACCTGCTTTCCCACCTTCAGGTGTATTGCACTAATGGTATTAGTTTCATATTTTTTTAAAACCACATTTTATCTCAATATGATCTTTCCCTGCACATCATTTTCATCTTTAGATCGTCTTTCCTGCATACCTCATTTATCTGAAGATCAACTTTCCCTGCACATCTTGTTCATCTCAAGATCATCTCTTCCTCCACATCTTGTTGATTTCAAGATCGACTTCACTTCACATATTATTCATCGGAACAGTGAGCTTAGAGGTCCTAGGTAGTTAATGTCCTTTGGATATTTTCTGCAGGACATGAACAGGCAGACAGATTGCCTGGCTTTTCACAACTTGGTGGTGAACTGATGCAAGACAGGCTTTCATAACTCTTTGGGAGCAAGTCAACACTGTGGAGGCACCGACAGATCATCAGTCTGAGGAGAATGGTGCTGTGAGGAGTTACCTAGGGGATCTGGCCGACGATCAACACTTAACTCTTTGAGGCCCAAGAAACGGTGTGAGCGTTGATTGAGAAGTTCCGTTTTGCCCAAACAACGCTGTCATCGTCGACCGCGTATCCCGTAGAATTTTCTTTCGCACACGGCTCTGTACTTGTTTCTAATGTTCAGAAGTACGATTAAACTATTCAGGGAAAATCACTCTGTCGAAATCCTTTCAGATACTTTCACTTTCAGAAATCACACGTGCATAATTTGAACGGATTCACCGCAAATTGTTTTTTTAACAGTGCATTTTCTAAGTTCATTTTTGAGTGCCATGAATACCAATGTTCCCACCACAAGTACAGGTTGGAAAATGCGTCTTTATGCGGCCGAAGCTCTGAAATTGTTTCAGTCAGATGTTTTTAATTCTGATAATGATAATGAAAATTTAGATTTTTCGGAAAGTGATTCGGAAGGGGCATTTTCACTGGCGAAGCTGAGCGATCAGCTTTTCTGAATCTAGCAATTGTGATGAGTTTATTACACAGACAATGTCCCACTGCTACCATATTTAAGATGTAAGAGAAGGAAAGTGCTCTAAACAAAGAGATTGTACTATACAGTGGCTAAGCTACATTGAAATCATCGCAGTTACAGTCTGTATATAACTATACAAAGTAAATAGTAAATAGCATGTGTGTAATGGCTCATTTTCAGCCATTTTTTTCTCTGAAATTTTTTCAGCACTCTGTTCTCTCTCTCACTCACACTCATTTACTCTCTCACTCACTCTCTCTCTCTCTCTCTCGCTCACTCTCTCTCTCTCACTCACTCACTCTCTCACTCACACTCTCTCACTCACTCAGATCTAATAGACTGGCTGGGGCATGAGTGGAATGTAAAATGACAGAGAGGTAAAAACTGTATACACAAGGAAGCTGAATGGTTGTAGACCACGAGGCAGACCAAGAAGACGGAGAGGTAATGTCCAGACAGACCTACAAACAGTTGGTGACACCAACTGGAGGGAAAAGGCCAACCAGAGAGATGAGTGGAGGCAAGTAATATCTGCAGCAATGAACCTCAAGGGCTTGAACGCTGAAGAAGAAGAAGATATGCAGTACGAGGTTCTCTCAAAAGTTATAATTTCTCACTTTCAATACTCACATGAATACTAGCACTGATAGGACCAGAAGAATAGTTAAATAACATAGCCAAGGCATGACTGTCGTTCGAGAAACACAAGACAATTTTAAAGTGTCATTTCAAACCTCAGAATACTGTTAAAGATCAACAACTATTGAGGTGTAAGTTTGCAGTGCAACCTCCAATTGTTTCAAAATCAACACTACAGCATACCCCCACACCCACAGATGCTCTATTTCTTGCACAATGTTTAAAGATGTAGATGGTATGTGTTCCAGTACCACTGGTCATACATCCCCTCTTGCTGGATCCACACATAATGACAACCTCCACATGCTTGTATTTATGATGAGTTTCAAACCTCTGCTACTAGCTGTGATCTCTACTGGGAGGCCTTAGACCAGGGCTATTCAAATGAATCTGGCCAGCAGAGACCTAGCAAATGGCCAGTGAATCATTGTAAAATGTACTGTATTACTGACATTCCTATGCTGGGGTTCAAGGCTCTAGCCTGTGATGATCTTCATTTGCATTGGTCCCATATGCAAACTTAGTTAAATAGCACTGCCTTAGACAGTAACAAGTCCTGCTTCCGAGAACATTGTGTTGGAACAGTTTACATGCTTACCACAGAAGTCTACTACATAATGTGTATGTGAGACAGCAGTACAAGCATTCTATACAGCTTTTTTTTCTTCTGCTGAATTGGTATACATTTTCTGATGGACTCAGTATATGAAAGACAAAATTAGAGTGGAAAATTGCTACTTACGCCAGCGAGTCTTCATGTGAAATAAAGGAATTCTGATCTTTGGACACACTCAGGCGTATCACCACAGCCTTGAGAGCATTTCTGAGAAGTGGTCTGTGTTCTTCACTAGTGAACCCATTCCAGGAGAGCAGTGACAGAATGCACTGAAGCAGTAGTTGGAAGCAAGCTGTCATTGTTAGGGACTCCTGTGAGAATCTGCCTGGTCCATCAATCAGACCATCATTGTCTGCTATCTGATCTTGGAAAAAACAACAGGCTGTCTCCAAGTGGTCACACAGGCAGGGAAGAAGATCCACTGCATAAGCTGCAATCTCTGCTGGCGTATATAGGTCTAGTAATGTAAACCCCACCTTCTTGTCTGTTTTTGCTTTGAGGAAGGTTCGCCTTTTGTAGGCAGAAGCGATCAGCGAATGGCTTAATTTTAGAGACAAATCCTCCAGCAAAAATTGAAGCTCTGGCAATCCAATCTGCAGTTCTTCCTTTGTTTTTGTATTCATCTGTGAATCTAAAGCTGCTTTTTTAATAAGCCCTGTCTTAAGTATCGTGAACACCTTTATATCTAATTCTCGGAAATACTGTCTATAATTTGACAAATCCATGGCAGCTTCTTCGCTTTTTGACGCTACATTTTGAGATTGTACTGAAACATCTGCCTGAGTGATGCTTTCAATAATCAGAGTTGAAGGTGCCTCTTCTCCATCTACTGAATTTTCCTTCTCTTTCTTTTTCGCACCAGCCTTCTTTCCTTTCTTTTTTACTTCTTTCCCAGATGTGGATGGTCCTGCAGTAATGGCTTTTGCTGGAACAGCTTCACAATCAAATATAGCAGTGGGTGGCTGGAAGTTTCTGTGTGTGGACAAACATTTCCTCAGTAAGGCCCCCAGTTCCGTGATGTGTTTCAGTCGCATCAGCACCTAGCAGAAATATTGTACACACACTTATGATGTACAACAATTATACAACAACTTATAAATATAATTGTTTTGATATTTCACATTCTGTTTTGGAAGATAAAGGTATATTATAGACTTGTTTAGCATTTCTTCCATTACCATGAGGTAATTGTACATATTTTCTTAGTTTTTTCTCTGTAACCACAGATCTTCTTGTGCACATTCGTCAGCTGTAGACTCTGACAGAAAGTTCATGTCATTCGCCCACTTCTGGAATTTATTCTTGTTCCAGAATCTGAGTTTTGTATGCATATCCATTTAAAGGATCTGGTTTATTTGTATGCAGACAGTTGGTTTCTTCCCTCTCAGGACAGATGCATTTTAGCTTCGAAGGAAACATCCTTAGTTAGTCAACTCTTATGACATGCTTGCTGGGGGAGGTGAGTCTATTCTTTCTTCTTTCCTCACAATGGGGCTCAGGAACCCACATAGAGACAAGCACAGAGCCTAGCGGTAACTTTAAAGGCTTATTTGTTCTTTCTTCTTCTACCATGGTTTAGTGGTACCTGTTAGTCTTATTTATGATTATAACAAATGTACTGATAATTCTGATAAATAAGGGCCAAAGAAATGTTAAACATGAAAAACAGAACCCTAGCTTTTCCTGGCACTATTTCTGCCACTGCTCTACTCTCTCTCTTTCTTTCTAAGTGTATGCCTCCTCAAATTATAAAAGTGAAAGACAGAATCCTAGTTTTTCCTGGCACTTCTGTGCTACTGTTCTACTTTCTTTCTCTCTTTCTACGTCTATGCCTCCTCAAATTATAAGACTGAAAGGCAAAACCCTAGCTTCTCCTAGCACTATTTGTGCAACTATTCTACTCTCTCTTTTTCTGCATGTATGCCTGCTCAAATTCTAAAAATTAATCAAACACATTTATCATCAGTGATAATAAACAACAATTTAGCAAGCACAATTAACCCTATTGCCCTAAGAATGCTAAATCTAGTCACTTCTGGTTGTGGCGTAACCCCATAAATGCAGATATATAACAATTTCTGCAGTGACCTTTTTTTAAAAAGCATATAGTTATTGCTACTGGTTCTGTATGCCTACATAGTCTTTAGGAGACACGGATGTGGATGTATATTTAGCATTTAGAGGGGGTGGGTCCCTTGTGAATCAAATAGCTTTTTTAAAGCTACAAATTTTCATGTAAGCCTCAGTGACGGAGGTCACGGCATGAGTCATCCAATACACTTGTTTTAAGCCTGGTAAATACATTCCCTTGAGAGCGTCATCTGTTCTTATTCACTAATTACACTGTTATACACATCTTTCTATATTCTGAAATAAAATAACAAAAATGTGTATGTAAATAAATAAATGATAAACAATTAGTTATCTGTGTTAAATATTTTTTTTTAAATGATATTATTTCCAGACTTCCATGGGTTCATTACCACACTTTTTTTTATAAAGCATGGGAAAAGGGAGGGGGGGGGGGGGGGTTGTGTGTGTGTGTGTTAGCTCATTTAATACTAAGCAACTAACTAACCTTTTTTTTTTGGAGCCACACTTACATCATATATCATTCTTGACTTGTTGTCTCTCATCGAGTTACTGTTAACATGTTCTACCCCATTTACTGCTTCAAATCCTTTCAAAGGTGTCATAATTTATACAGCATCAGACTAAAACCTGTGTTAGCTACAGTAATAAGTCTTTAGGATAAAATGCGTTGAAGTAGCACTCACCTGGGAACTGAAAGAGTTAAAACAGTATTATCATGAAACATGGCTCACCTTTGCCTTCATTTCTGGATCAGACATGGGAGCAAAGCTGTTGACCACCTCCCGGAACCAGTTAATGCAGAAGAATAAGCTGGCACATGCCAGATCTTTTTCTGCAGGGCTCAAGGGTTCAAACTTGGCATACACAGAAGGCCTAACCATCAACACAGGACAGCCTAGAAGTGCATCGATATTCTCCAGGTTCTCCTCTGACTGCCTGAGCTCACAGATGGTAACAAGATGGAAAAGTGGTGCCAGACACGCCAGATTGTTTTCAGAGCTGAAAGTCACACAGAAATACAAGGATAATTTGTCTGACAATAATTTTTACTAACCAGATAGTATACAAATTTCTTGTAATGCATAATGTTAGGTTAGCAGGTAAGACAGCAACAAATACTGTAATAAGTTTCTTCATTTAAAACCAAAATGTTCAAATCAACCTTGTTCATCTCTTCATAGCCACATTCATCCTCATCTTGTTGTGCCATGTACAAATCAGTTCCTCGATTCTGCTATATCCTGTGCAATCCTTTCAATTTATGTATAGAAACCCAGTCTGGCAACTCTTACCTCTCAAAGATTAGAAAAAGATTTTATGGTGATGCTTATACACACACACACAGTGGTTATACAAAGACTGTTGCATACTTTAAAAATTACAGTATGGATATATGCCAGGGATGACATATATTCTAGGCAGAATTAACTGAGATTTTGAGATAGTACCCAAATATCTCCTTATCCTATGACTCACTGCCATCATTTTGAAACAGGGTATCCAAATGTCTCACTCCTGATCACTGGCAGTGGTAAATACAAAGATTAGTGGCACAATGGTTAGGACAGTCAATGCTACCGCGATTAGAATTAATGAATGAAACAAAACCTGACACCACTGCACTCAGAGTATCCCCACAAGTGCTCTGTCTCTCAGTAACCAACGAAGAGTTCCAATATGGATAGTACTAGTTGCAACCTGTTTAAACATTCACCTGTCTTTTCCCCTGTGGATTAAAAACCGCTCACGTCCTCTGTTATAGAATGAGTCTTTCAAGGAACGGATAGTCTGTTTCATTGTCCAGTTTGATCCCAGAGAGCCTTAACCAGGACCACTTTATAATAAAGTAGCTCATCATCCAGAGGAACGACAGCAGCCAATTTATCAGCCTGCTCATTATCCCGCACACCCTAATTCAGTTAAAGGTTAAAGTCGAGAGAAACGACTTCATTGCAACGGGTTTTATCCCATATGGCTCGGTCTCTCTTCGCAGAATGGCTATCCTGCCTGCCGAGAGTGCAGCAGCACAGAGCACAAACTCAGCTCTCACAATGATCCCCAGGAATCTTCATAAACATTGCACTCGTGAACTGAACGATGCAGCGATGAAACGAACCCATCATCTTTACAGCATGAGGCAAATGGCTGGATCACCTTCTTCACTTTTCTATGCCTCTTTTTCATCAATGAAGCATAAACCCTTAACTGTGTCTCACCCTCATCCCTTTCACTTTATGCAACTATTCTAACAAGGGCAAACCACTCACCTGTCTTTCTGCTGGGAAACTTTGTTGTTTAGCTGTTTCTCTGCCAACGGCACCAGGTTAATGGCTATTGTGCTTTCACTTTCATTATTTAAACCAAACAGCGCATCAATAGGTAATAGTGTGTTTTCCTTCAAGTGGGCATCTGCGATAATGTCAGCTACAAAGTTGAGCTCAAACACTGAAATAAGCAATAAAGTTTAAGTAAATGATGAGGTCAGCACTAAGATAAAGGTTAGATGATGCATTTAATGAAAGAATCCATGGACAGAATTCATCTCAAACTATTCAAATGCCAGCATAGGTTACAAAAAGTTATATTAAATGAAACGATAGGTTACATAAAGTTATATTAAATGCCACCATAGGTTACAGAAATTTATATTAACCTAGCAATAACAAACAAAAATTATAAAAACATTGGACCATATTACGGTGCCTAGAATACAACGAACATTTAAGACACCGAGATTTAATTGGTCGGTTCCATCGTGTTACACACATGTTTTACACATAAATAAACAGAGAGGAACTCTTGAGGCCGTAGAGTCAAATTCTGTCTTTATTCCACAGTTGTAGGCTGCAAGCTGTACGACAGATATGGCTAATGAAGACACTTTTTTTTAAAGAGGTGCCTAGCTGATCATGTCTCTTAGTACACCTGTTTCCACAGCCAGGCACTTTCCATATACGAAGGTGACAGGTTCGATTCACAGCACAGTAACTATAGCTTTCCATTTTTATGTTATCTAATGTGTCCTTCTATCTTTCTACTTCTTTATATAAGTGCCGATCTTAACATTGTCTGTTTATTATATATTTAATGTTTCTACGGCTCAACATACCTTCATTTATTTATTTATGTGTATTAATTTACAGCCAACCATCATTGGGTGGACAACACACTGTGTGACTGAAATTATCTACAGTGCTGAAACATGAATAATGACTAAAATAAATATGCATAAACTACAATAATTCACTAGCTGATGCTTGTGCAGAATTCAAGGAATTAAATGGCATGAGAAAATCATGAAAAATTTTTAGTGAATAAAGAGGTGAGGAAGAGACGTCGATGTTGGATAGAAGACACAATGAGAGACCTCATAATCTATCTAGAATGACCCTGCACTGGTGCCAACAGGGTGAAAGGAATAGAGGCAGACCAAAAAATACATGGAGAAGAGAATTAAAGAAACTGGTGGAAAAGATGCTAAGGACATAGGAAAAAATTGCAGCAATGGTAAAAGATAGGATGAAAAGGTACGAGCTGGTTAATTTTCTGGCCAGATACAATCTCAAACACTAAACTACTTCAAGCCACAAACCAAGAAACTTTAGACAGTATGATTACCAAGAGAAGATGGAAATGGCTTGGCCACGTTATGAGAATGACTTCTGATATACCTGCCAAAACAGCTCTCACATGGACACCAGAGGGAAAGGGAAAACAGGGGCACCCAAAAACAACATGGAGACGAACGATGGAAAGTGACCTGAGTGCGGCATCTTTGACATAGAAAACTGCACTGAAGATTGCACAGGACAGGAAAGCATGGAAAGTCCTCTCTGAAGCCTCATGTGCCACTAGGCATAAAGAGAACTGATGGTTAAGGACCAATGTATGAGAAAGTAACAGGCACAAATAGAAGAAACAATGAGGTCATAGTAGAAGTCTAGTATAAGTCACATAAAACCAGCTAAAATTGATACTTCAGGGCTACTTTTTTTTGGATTATAATTAACTCGACTTTGAAATGAGACAGTATAAAGCAATTCTTACAACCAACACTAAAACCTAAGGTACTATTCAGGTTTTTCACCCCATCTTACCGGGTGCATAGACTTCATAGAGAATTCACCGGGACAGTTCTTTTGTCAAGGGGAGTTAGCGTTAGTCTTAGTCACTGTGTTCATTTAATACTAACCCTAAAACTTCAATATTCTAGGCGTTTTATGTGTTTCCTCTTTTCAGCGGTGTTATCATTTATTGCATCGTCATTACCAGTGTGTGTTTCTTTATTACATTCCTTGCCTTCACTCTGCCCTGTTTGGAAGCACTGTTCTTACTTCGTGACTTCACCATGAATTTCCTTGACCTGTCAGTATTCCTGCATCTAACTCAAACTCTTAAAAAGTCGTTCAAAGAAAAGACAGCTGCTCACTATCGCCTGGAAGAAAGGAAAGTTGCACACTTTTGTCTAGTAGATAGTGTGTCAACCTGGTTGAACGAAGACATGTCATAATCCATAGACTATAGGACTGTCTTGGAGAATTCCCTATGAAATCTTGCACCCGATGAGAGGGTGTGAAAATGCTCAACAGTACTCAACCTTAATTTCCCCTCATAAGCCTTACATTTAACCTGTAGCCTTAACTCATCCAACAAGTCTCACATTTAACAATGTAACCATAATTTTCCCTCACAAATAACACTCAGCAATGTAACCTTAATTTTCCCTAACAAACCGTACATTCAACACTGTAGCCTCAATTTTCCTCAGCAAACATTACATTAAAATCTATAGCACTAATTTCCCCTCATAAACCTTACATTCTACACTAAGCCTTAATTTTTCCTCACTAACATTATATTTATATTCAATACTATAGCCTTAATCGCCTCTCACATGCCTTACACTCAACACTAGCCTTTCTACAAAGCCTGAGAACTGATTTAGCCAACATCAGACTATCAATCTTCATTTCCCAAGACATTTTCTGGTACGTATTTTTAGTCTGGGACCACTTGTCAGTAAATTATTTCTATTTTAATTTGTGAATTTGAACTGAAACCTTCAGGCCAGTAAGCAAGTGTCTAGCCACTGCAATGTTGCAAAACTTTCAGTCACAAATAACATTCTTCTTCACATTCACTGGCTGTAAACTCTAACAGAAAGTTCTGGCTGTTCAACCACTCTTAGACTTTAATCTTGTTCCAGAACATGAGTGTTACATGCCCATCCGTTTGACAGATCTGACTTATTTGTATGCAGACTGTTGGTTACTTGCCTCTCAGGCAAATGCACTCTGACTTAGAAGGAAGCTCTAATGAGTCGACTCTTACAACATGCTTGTTGGGAAGGCAGTAGGTCTATTCATATTTTCCCCCCCAACAGTGCCCCAAAACCCACATGGGCAATAACAACACTGACTCGTATTAGGACTATGTAAAAACAATGGGCTATAGCTGTGAGACCAACCGTCAGTCATATTAGTGGCAATCCAAGCTTCGACTTTTCCGGAGAGTTTTTGTGTCTTCATCATGGTGCCTAAACTGTCAATAAACAAAGCAGCTGTTTCTGGGTCTCGTCTGCCGTTGCTCTGAACCAGCTCTAGAAGGCTGATCACCTGTTGGATAAACCCCATATGAATATGAGCTGTGCTGAATTATGACATGCTTATATCCTGATGCAACTGAACACTTTAATGGGTGGTTCCCAGTTAGCTTAGACTCAGAAACCCCACTTATTTCTCAAAGCTCAGTGATGGGCTTTTTGCATATATTTTAAGTAGGTAGGTAGTTGTTTCTCACAGGGACTTCACACAAATGATAAATACCCGGTGACACAAAGTGCCACCATGTGGATGAGGAACACCCGTGGAGAGGTCCTAGAAACCCCTTTCAGTCGTTAGGTCATATCTATGGTTAGGCCATATCTATGGTTAGGCCAAATCTATGCCCCGGCGTTATTCAGGGCCCCTGGCAGAAACCAGGATGAGGCTTCAAATAACTAAAAATTGCATCTCACACAGCAACGAAAGATATTTTAAATGTATTAGTAGTTAGTACTTTTCCCCACCAGGACATCACACAAGCGATAAACACCCGATGACACAAAGTGTCACCATGCGGATGAGGATCACCCGTGGAGAGGTCCTAGAAACCGCGTTCACCTATTAGGCTATATTTATGGGCGGGCTATATTACGGATTCAAAATAACGAAACATTTCATCCCAACAAGATAAACACTGATACCTCCCCCACACACCCCATAAACTTGTCCCATCAATTTAACCACTCAGTAGCACTTTTCTGACTTTAAAACACAACTTAATAATCTTCTCATGTGAAATCTAACACAGGCAGCAGCCGATTCAGCCTGCACTTTTTTGTGTGCAATTAATGAAAACATTCTAATGTGTGCACTGCCAGCGAAACACTGAAAAAAGTATTTAACATGTAGAGAGGTCAATGTCATAACTTATACAGAAGTCAATGTCCTTGCTTTAATACAAGTCAATGCAATAACATGTATATAGGTCAATGTCATAACTTATACAGAAGTCAATGTCCTTGCTTTAATACATGTCAATGCAATAACCTGTACAGAGGTCAATGTCATAACTCTTACATATATATAGGTCAATGCTCAACCCGTATAGAGGTCAATGTCATAACTTATTTAGAGGTCAATCTTATAACTTGTAAAGAGGTTAACGTCATAATTATTATTGTGGTCAATACTTTAACTCACACAGAAGTAAACTGAATAACATTTAATGAGTTGACTTCAATCAAGAAAAGACAAATGTAGGACTGTTACCTGGTTGTAATCTTCTGTGGACAAAGTATCACTGTCTTCTTCACTCCTCGATGAAATGGCGTGAACGATAGAGACAGCTCCCATAACACCCATACGCTTGTACCTGACAGACAGTATTACACACATTCCTTAGAAAATACTTTTAACAAGGCTATGTGTTTTCATTAGTTCTCATAAAAGGACACACACACATACATGTGTATGTATAAAAACACACACAAGTAAAGCAATGGTGCATGTCTCCCTCCCCCTCGCCCCAGAAAAGGATGGGGGGGGGGGGGGGGGTTGAGGACAGCAAGCAAATTTGTATATTGTGCTAAAAATGTTCAGTTAGATTACAAATTAAATACTAACAGTCCTAAAAACAAAACAGCACTGCCAGCTTCATATGGAGAGTGCTCTCCATTGTGCCTTGTTCAACATCAGACCAAAAATAAGCAATGTTTGATTTAACACTTTGATTTATGTGGATGTGTTTCTGCAAGTTCTTGTAACAGTGCTTGGGATTTTTCATTTTGTTCTCCTTTTAATCACATTTTTAATAAGGGTAAAGGTAAGGTAAAGTTGGGAGATGTGAACCAGCGCCATTGTACACAGTTATAAACCATAAGTGCTCTGCCACCAGTACGGACAGCTGATAAGAATTGTCCGCCTGTGTCGCTGTTCGCACGTAACTGTAGCTACAGCGACGTTCCTCCATTTACCCCAGAGTGTCAACTCTGGTACGCATTTTCTAGAGGCTGGGTAAACCCCGGGAGCCGCCCGGTTTCGAACACCGACCGTGGGCTGCAGTGAGTCGCAGCTGGATTTGAAAGCGAGCCTCTTATTGATTGCGCTAACGCGGCCCGACATTTTTAATAGGCAGACATAGGGGGGAGGGGGGGAGGGGGGGGGGGATGGGAGGAGCATCACCTGAAAAACATAAAACCACAAAAGAAAAGAATCTTTTTCCCACACCTTCTGGCTGACTGGGCATATGGTGACACAATTTCTTCTAGACCAGTCAGCATTCAACGTGTGACGTGGACAATCTTCTTCTGCATTTGCCCTTCAAAGATAGTTGCCACACTGCATTGTCGTTTAAAGCTTGGCTATATTATCTTTCGACTCAACGCAACCGATTTCAGAGCAACCCTTAATTGGTCTCCCTTCAGGACATGGTTATTAATAGGCAGGGGGCCACGTTAGTGCAGTCGATAGGAGACTTCCTTTCAAATTCAGCTGCGACTCACTGCAGCCCACGGCTGGTGTTCAAAACCGGGCTGTTCCTGGGGTTCACCCAGCCTTTAGGAAATGGGTACCAGAGTTAACACTTTGGGGTAAATGGAGGGATATTGCTATAGCTACGGAGTTGTGTGCAGACGGCAACACAGGCGGACAGTTTCTTATCAGCTGTCCGCACTGGTGGCAGAGCACTTATGGTTTACAACTGTGTGTAATGACACTGGTTCACATCTCCAGACTTTACCTTTTTTTTTTATTATGGGCAGAGTCTATCTTTGTTTCCCTTAAAAAATTAAAACAATCACACAGAATCCATATGCAGAAATCATGATCAAGTGTGTAAAACTTGTAGTCTGTGCAACTTGTTCAAATCTGTAAACCGTGTCTTAGTCTGCATATCTTATCTCAGCCATTAAATCTTCTCTGTAAATCTTGCCGGGAGGCACAAATAGATCATTACAGTCTGAGGAGAATGGCGCTGCGGGGAGTTACCAGGGGATCTCCCCGACTCTCAACACTCAAGGAAAGGGCGATGGGTATACAATCAGACAGTTACTGGTACCACAGGAATTGGAACTCTTTGCTGGCTGATGAAAATGTGGACTGAGCGTTTATAGGGGTGTCCTAAGTGCTGTGATGTCGACTCTTAATTCAACATTCAAGTCAACATATTGTGAATCTTGTATATAGTCTGTAAATCTGGTCTTAATCTGTAAAACTTGTCTTGCCTGAGAGGCAAGGAACCAACAGTCTGCATACAAAATAAGCTGGATCTGTAAAACAGATTTTCAAGCAAAAATTGAGGTTCTGCAACAAGACTAATATCCAGAGGGGGACCAACAACCACCAAAGTGTAGCCGACGAACTCAAAGAAGAAATCAGTCAATACCAAGCAACATTATTCTGAACCTTTTATCACCCACCCGGGTATTATGTGAACCCACTCAGCCACAACTCTTGCTTTGAATACCTACTTTCTCTTTACTTTATTTTAATGCCTTCAGACCTAAATATTTATTACAGTAGAAACCTAATTCAAAAAAAAAATAGTTAACCTGCAGACCACAGAGGAATGAACAGTTTCAAATGTTTTGCTTCGTACCAAAATAGAAACTGCCCCAAGTTTCTTCTTTTTTTCTGCGTTTGCCTTTAAAAGGAAGGTTGGCATGTTGTGTTGTGGTGTACTGCTAGGCTGAGACATCTGCAAATTTCAGCCCAACATATCCTATTTCAGCAAACTACTGATAAGTCGTCTTTTAGCACAGGGTCTATACTCTCTCCCCCCAAAGAGAACCTGGATACCCACACACTGAGTCCAAGTTCCAATAGTTAATCAATAATTCAAAAAATATTTACAATTTCTGGCATTGAGTAGCAGCTGAGATACTATAGAACTGCAGTTTATGTATCATCTGGTCTAAACCAAACAGTTTTAGACCTTCAGTTACCACAATTATTACAGTTAATATACAGATTTTTTTTTTTCAGAAACAAATTGCATTTGCAACAGTTAAGAATGGGAAATCTACTTACCGTGGATTGCCACTGGTCAACTGCTTGCGGACAATAATGTGCAGATCGTCCTATATTAAACGCAAATTAAAACAAGTTTAATTGCTTTCTGTCCGCCTTCCCCCCCCCCTCCCCCAACCCCTTTTCACCCATATCACACTCAAGTATCTGCCCATTTCACAAGCTGCCCACAAAGTGAGGTAACTATGACTAACTGCTCACTACTAGTGCATCAGAGGCTACAGAGTAGCAGGGGAAATATGTTGACCCAGTTAATTATTACATTTTCTTTTCATGTAAACTTTTTTTTTTAAATTAAGAAAAGAATTTCCTTCTGTACCTGCACAGAAGAGAAGGAATGAAATAGTATTACTAATGTTTAACTCTCGGAGGGAACTAAATTCTAGTGAATCAAGAGCCGAGGAAAAGACGCTGGCACTGAATAGAATACTTTTTCTTATCTAGTCCTGTTCTGCCTTTTAGCGTAAGATTTTGAAGAGGCATTGTGTGCAAGCCTTGGTATGTTCTGTGTAGATTTGGTATTTATGACCTATGATATTCCATCTATCCATCACTTGTGCGGTCAACCTATAGCTCTGCTTCCATTACAACTGTTTAAAAAAAACTGTCACTACTATCTGTTTTATCACCTTTTAGGGTAGTGCAGACAGGGGGGTCGTGAGCCTAAGGATTTAGAGCCACAACGCTAGTACTGTCACCAACGGACTGTGCAGGTAGGATGTTTAATTTTTCCATTACAGCAAAACTGTTTTTGTTGTAACAATATTCACTACAACAAAACAGTTCATGTTGCAAGAATACCACTATCCACTGCAACAAAACAGTTCATGTTACAAGATTGCCACCATCCACTACAATAAAAACTGTTCATGTTACAAGAATGCCACTGTCCACTACAGCAAAACAGTTCATGTTACAAGATTGCCACCATCCACTACAATAAAAACTGTTCATGTTACAAGAATGCCACTGTCCACTACAGCAAATCAGTTCATGTTACAAGAGTGCCACTATGCACTACAACAAATCAGTTTATGTTACAAGCATACCACCATCCACTACAGCAAAACAGTTTATGTTGTAATCATACCAATCTCCTCTACAACAAAACAACTGCAAGCCACTAACCACTACAACAAAACAGTTTATGTTGCAATAGTACTATTATTCACTGAAAACAAAACAACTCATGCTGCAAGAGTACTACTATCCACTACAACGAAACAGTTTATGTTGTAACAATGCTACTACTATTCATAGCAATAGAACAGCTCTTTCTGAGTTATCTAATTATATTTGCATACATGTTCTACTGGCATTTCACAAAAAAGAATGTAAACAAAATATTCAAGTAGTTTTAATTTCCAGAGTTTTCTGACAATGGAGGGTGGTGAGGAAGGGAACCAGCCATACCAACAACCGCATATCATGGCCTAGAGTATGTGAAGGCTTAAAACTTTCGTCCCAGTGACCTAGAAAAAAACTAAACCAGTAACTTGTATTTCAGGAATTATCAGAAAAATTATTAAATTTGTTTCTTATACAGGTCATCCAAAATATTATAATTCCATTTTTGGAACAAAAACAACATACAATTTCATACAGAATACAAGAAGTAATTAGTAAACATGCACAGACATAACTGGGTTACATCTCTTTCAGTCACAAATTTATAGAGTAATTCTTGATGTTGTGCCCCATTGTGGGTTACTGTTGTCCAACAGCCACCAGTTTTTTGTTAGCAAATATAATTAATTCATCATCATCCTTAACATTTGTGTAGGCACAATCATTCCTAACACATTTAGCTAGGTCTGTCATGAATAATATACTATAGCAGTGTCAGTAAACTGACATTTACTGGGGCATGGCACAAACCGGAAGAGTCTGGTTTTCAGCTTCTCATGACGAAAGGGTTCAAATTTAGCAAATCAATGGCGGTATCTAATATAGAACTAGTTTTAACTTGAAGTTGCGGTGGTAAAAACATGTCTGTGGTCAATAAATGATAATTACTGTGGACAATTCCAGTTGTAAAAACATGTCTGTGGCCAATATATGATCATTACAGTTGAAAATTCCAGTTGTAAAAACATGTCTGTGGCTAATAGTTGTGGACAAAAACAGTTGTAAAAAACATGTCTGTGGCCAAATATGATCATCCAGTGTTATGTCTGTGGCCAATATATGATCATTACAGTGGAAAATTCCAGTTGTAAAAACATGTCTGTTGCTAATAAATGATTGTTACTGTGGAAAATTCCAGTTGTAAAAACATGCCTGTGATCAGCAAATGACAATTACAACGGAACATTGGATCCACGTTACCTGGAGATAATGTCCACTGTGGGTATCATGAAAAGCCAGCTGTGCAAGCAACAGGTACAGCTTCCGTATCTGGGCAACGGTCAAGTTATTGTGATCCAGATAGTCCAGGACACCCTTCAATATCACAAACATAAGAGGTCAAATGTTTTATTACATAAATCTACTTACACACAAATAGACATATTTATGGAGGATCATCACTAGAGCTACAGAGTTCGTGCTCTGTGCAACACTCTCGGATGACAGAGAGAAACTGAGCCTTATGGTATAACCAGAACAATTAAGTCAATCCTCCTAATAGACTTTACAAGTTTCATTAAATCCTCCTGCTATCACATGAGCTCACATGCGGATCGGAAGTTTGTGGATTCACATCTGAATTAAAGTGACATTAAACAAAAATTACCTTGGCTCCCAGGTTAACCCAGCCTCAAATGTGTACCAGGTATGTTTCAGTGCAGGAAAAGTTGCAAGCATGATGCTGACATCTCCAACCAAGTGACGATTAGTCTATGAAATATAGGTCTAGCAGTATATGCCCAATACGCCTGAAGTTCCCGGAACTAATGCTCATTTTGCCGCATGGTTGAGACTTCCGAGTCATAGGGTGAACTTTTGGGTTTTATCTACAATTTTTAATAACCTATTTGAATGAAAAAATAGTGCTGAAAAATATAAATTCGACTCACGACCAGTTCAACTTACGACCAGTTAGTCAGAACGGAACTAACTCGTAAGTCGAGGAGAATCCGTATTGCTTTGATTTTATATTATTACAATTTTGTGTATGTATAAACTGAGGCATAGAACTGAAAGCATTTGATCAAATAAATGTTTTTTTTAAAGCACAATAAACATACACTAATGTGATAAAATGTAAACCAAAGACTGCACAAAGCCAAATGAAATGCAATTACCTTAACAAAGATGGCAAACTGTGAAACCGCCTGTAGCTGGTGTGTGACTAGTTCAGTCAGAATATCCAGCGACGCTTCAATTTCGCCAGCGAATCCACTGCCAATATGAGTGACCAGGTTGCCAATGATTTCCTGGTGACATTTATAAGCTAATGTTATAAAATGCATTCCGATTATTTTTATTAAAAATTGTGAGAATAACTGTTGTGGGATCAGCTGTGGGGGCACTATTCTGTGTCTGGTGAAAGAAACTGTGGCCGGACTATATTTGAAACCTTCTGTTATTAGAATCAGATATATATCAAACAGTGGGTAGAGGTGCTATTCAACCTATGTTGGTCAAACAAGGTTACACACACAAGGAGTAGAGATATTGTAAGTCAGGGCTATTCAGCTGAGTTTTCTCAGAGGCCAACATTTCAAAAACGGGGATCATCACAGGCCAGAAAGATCATTAATACAAAACAACTGGCAATGATCCACGGGCCAGCTAAGCTAAGTTAGGCCTAAGCAGGCCGGATTTGACCCTTGGGCCGGCAGCTGAATAGCCCTGCTTAAGTAATTCAAGATCAGTCAAGAGGAAAGAGCCACATTCTCCAGCAGCACATCATCTGCTAGACTATGGAGGTGGGATTGTGCCTTTCAGGTTATTTATCATACAAATAAAAATGCAGGTTCCCAGTGACATTTTCAGAAGCAGCTGGAATTAGGGGCAGCCAATCCCATATTAGGTAAACAAAAGGATCATGTCATTAATTCTAGACTTCGATGGTGGGAAGTATAGTGTGTGATGAGACTATGTGATTTGCGTTTTAAAATGATTCATTTGATGCTTCATTAAACACTGATGTAAATTCTGAAGTAATGCTCCTGATCAGATGCAGGCAATAAATTGTTCGTGCATTCCTTGTTTTAGTTAGCAAAAGGTAACCATTTTGAATTTTCAAACTTATAGCCCAGACAGTGGATTTACAGTGTAAGGAGAAAATTGACTCAGAAGTGTCAGAATCAGTGGTAACAGGTATAAATTTAAAAAGAAAAAGATTATAAAAAAAAAAAATAACACCCATTTCAAATGTTAGGATCAATGGTAACATGTATAAATGAAAGAAAATGTTACCCTTTCAAGAGTAGGATAAGTGTTAGCACATGTATAAATGAAAGAAAATCTCACCATTTCAAGTGTCAGGATAAGTGGTAGCACACGTATAAATGAAAGAAAATCTCATTTTTTCAAGTGTCAGGATCAGTGGTAACATATAAATGAAAGAAAATCTCACCATTTTAACTGTAAGGATCAACGGTAACATGTAAAAATGAAAGAAAATGCCATATCAGGATTTTTTTTATAATTTACTAAACAGTGAAGATCCAGGCTTCTGCAAAATGACAACTTACCTGCTTGTAATAAGCATCAAAAGACGTGAAAGCTTGTTTGTAAATTGTGCATCCCCACACAACAAATCACGGGCTCTGCTGAGCGAATTAAAGCTTGAGCCAAGGATAAGACTGAGGGAAAGTACTCCCGAATCACCTAAAAAAATTATCATGATTAAGTGCCCTTCAGCAAGTTATAAAAACTCTAAGCGAAAGCTTTGGTTATTTGTCCACTTTCGGACTTTGGTCTTGTTGCAGAACTTAAGTTCTTCATGGACATCCGTTTTACGGATCTGGCTTATTTGTATTTATTGTAACCGTTGGTTCATTGCTTCTCAGGCCAATGCACTGCAACTTCAAAGGAGAAACAATGGTTATAACAGTGTTTCTGATATCCTCATCATTGGTATGCTATACGATTTCTTGTTTGATCAATAAAAACTTTAATGATTCTATGCTGAACAAATTAAAGAAAAAGCTAGAAAAGTGCAGAGCACTTAAGGCAATCTCAGATGTGGCGAATTTTTGCTGTGAAGAACAATTTGTTTATCCCTGGTAATTACCATGTGCTTGAACTCTTATTTAGATAAATTTCTAATAAGAAGAACTTCTTCTTCTTCTTCGCATTCACCAGCTGTAAACTCTGGCGGAAAGTTCTGGTTATCCATCCACTTTAGGACTGCAGTCCTGTTCCAGAAACTGAGTGTTGCATGTGCATCCATTTTACAGATCTGACTCATTTGTGTGCAGACTGCTGGTTCCTTGCTCTCAGGCAGATGCACTGACTTTGAAGGAAGCTCCCAATTAGTCGACTCTTACGACATGCTTTTGGGTAAGTGTTGTAGTCTTATTTGGCCAAGAACTAAAATGTCAGTCAGCAGGAAGAGCACATGTAAAGGTCACAAGGCCACGGGTCTTAAGTGACCTTAAGGTAATTATACGACTTATTTGAATTCTGGGAATAGAATTAAAAGGGACAGTCGGGAGAGCCTGGAAATTTTGCTAGCGTCCAAGTCGGACGTGGGGTTTCTGCGGGTTAGCAGAAATGTTGTGTTGGCTGTTTTCTTTTTGTGAGGATAATATAGTAACGTTTCTCTTTGTGAGGTTTTTGCTTTGCCGCTGTTTGCGGGAGACAGTTGATGTCTGTTTTAGTTTCTAATGGCAGGAGTCCACTGAGTGAAGTTTGTAATCGTTAAGTCGTTTAAGTCGTCCGTGTAGATAATAGTGACTTATTATCGTACCTATATTAATCATCATCATCTTGTGACGTTTAATGTGAATTACATTAAAGTTTATGTGGCCTGTCACAAGTTGTTAACTCGTCAGGACAGTCACAATTGTATTTGATGGTGCTGTGCCCAGTGTGCCAGTCGTTATATTATGCAGTTGCAAATAGTTGCATCACATCCATCAAGGAGAGATCCAGTGGCATATTAGCGTAGGCACCCTAGACCTACATACTTGGTTGGGTTTCTGAAACTAAGCAGTATCAGTGCATAAACATACATATTACATGGACTAACACAAATAAGTGCTTTATATACCCATAGTCTACACAGGGGTTATACGAGAGTACAACAGTAAGCAGTGGATCTTTTCTTGCTTTCCCCCATACAATAGGGCCCCCAGTACCCACACAAAGAATAAAAAGAACTATTCCCTGGGTGCCTGGTGAGTTCTCCTTATCAGGTCTGCACTGTTAGTTATTTAAAAAAAAAAAAAAATAATAATTCGTGCAGCAAATCATCACCATCGTGAAAAAAATTATTTGCATAACATCATTCTCAGCACAGTCCATGTAAATGCTTTCGACATTCATCAGTTGTCCTGCCTCATATGCCCACAGTGTCTTTAATGTCAACTGTCCACCAACTACTAGAAACTACTCCTTCCAGTACTGTTCTGTATAAGCACTGGAATGTTTGTAAACTAGTCATTCAGTTGAGACATGCTGTTTTTGTATGAGTAAGTTTTCACTGACACTCAGATCTTACAGAATGTTGTTATTTGTTTTTCCTTCTTGATCCATGATTTTCTATAAATGTTGTAAAGGACCCTGTCCCCTTGTCAGGCCTTACAGGCGATATAGGGCTAGACCTATATTTTATAGACCAATCGGCACTTGGTGGGTGATGTGGTCAGCATCACGCTAGCCACCTTTACTTTCCAGAACTTTACCTGAGACCCCTTCAAGGCTGGGTCAACCTGCCAGCAAGGTTCATTTTTGACAAAAGTCCAACCTTGTCAGGACTGAACCCACGACCTTCTAATCCATGGGCAAGCATCTAGCCACTACACCATGGCGACATCCCTATGAATCTTTTATAAACTTTTTCAGTGTTCACTCAAGCATGTGTGCAATGATGAATAACATATAAAATCAAAAATCCATATGTGGTTAAATAAAACGTTCATATCCTCACAATTTTAACTTAAATTTAATGGTTGTTCAGCTGTTTTTAATGCTAAACTGCTCTGGTCAGTCCTTTAGAAAAAAAAAACATTTCTCATTATTACCATTTTTAAGAACAGTATAAACTTAACACAAACCTAATGTAATGAACTATTAAAAGAACACACCTGTGTATAAGATGTAAATACATTATTCACAAGTTCCTCGGTGAGAATCCCTGCTCGAATCTTGTTACGGACCAAGCTCTCGACCGCCTTCTTATGATTCATCCAATGCAGCATCAACAAAATAAAGATGTCAATGATCTTGAAATCCTTAGCTACGTCCAGTGCCTGCCACAAGGATGATGTGAACAACATTAGTACACAGTGGGTGATACCATGACTGCATTCTTAAATTACAGAAGCTCTATTATTATCAAGAAAATTTAAAATGTTTGTGAACTTCAGAAGAAACATTACAAATATCTGACACCTTTACCCTCTCCTCTGATTAAATATTTTCAGGTAAACAAGAACTGTTCCAAATTAAAGCAAAGCTACCTGTTCTGGATAAAACAAAGATGGCTGAAATCTACAACAACCAAACTGTGGTGTATACAATTTATGGAAATTACGCAGCTTGGAAGAGAAGTTATGAGACATACACCAGACCACAGTATTATGAAAAGAGAAGCCATACTTTCCTGAAGACAATTATTACCAATTTTAACCACGCGGTTGACCAGTCTTACATGATCAGACACAAATATCTACTCAACAGGAGACTGAAAGAACTGCTATGACAGAATAATGTGTACTATCAAAGTATGTTACTAAAGCTCAAGAATAGCCAGGTCAGTTAACAGAGAAGTTCAATGTCTAGACAGCATGGGACATCAATTACAAAAATAAAACAGCAATGAAATGTCAAATGTAGGAGAGAGCTTCACAACTATAATCCAATTATTTCTTTATAAAGCTAGCGGAAAACCACATGTTCACACCAAGTATGTTAAATTTGTATGAGACAAAAATGAGAATATACAATGCAAAAACAAAAAACAAAACAAAAATCTAAGCAAAGCTGGAACTGCAGTAATACCATCTTCTTCTTCTTCTTATGCTCAGATCAGACTGTCAGGTAGACTTCCTCTATAAACTCACATGTCAGCTGCAGGTCCCTCATGATTCCCCACAGCTTGCTCTGCGCATTTTGTTCTTGCGGCCAGGTTTCTTTTTGAAGCTGTAGGTAGTGTTGGAAACACTTCCTCCAGTGAATGAAGCTCAAGTGGTAAGACAATACAAACAATTTATTTTATGAAATTGAAATATTCAAGTTAAAATGAAAATCACTTTCCTTATAAGTAAAAAAGAAAAAAAGTAAAGGACCCTTTTCACGCCATCAGGCGTTTAGGGCATATAGGACTAGACCTATATTTTTTATAGACCAATTGGCACAAAGATAAAATGTGGTCAGCATCAAGTTTACTTTCCTGGGACTGCACCCGGTAAATCACTTTCGACCTGGGAGCCAAGGTATTGTCCACGATCCGCCAGGGAAAATACCGACCTTCCGATCCACGACGAGCGATTTTTCTTATTGACAATTTAAAATACTCACCTTAATCCAAGCTTCTGCAACAAAACGATGGAACTGCATCCGCCCTTTCAATGCATCAACAGTCAGTTTTATGCTGGTTTTCACTCTGTTGTCAATAAAACAAAGAAATTATATTTATAACAGACTCATAAATCAGCCTGCTTATTAATCATCATAGTGCCATAACACTGCCTGTTACTGGGTCAACGGCTGTGGCTGGTGATCAGTTCCCCCATCTCTGTTGGTTAGAAGCACTAGGCTTTTTGTCGGCATATATGAAGTCCACCCACTTAGCCACATATTTTTCGGTAGGTTTTTCTTGGCCTGCCTCTTCTCCTACTCCCAAAGTACTCAACCTTGTGGTTATCATTTTCGGAGAACCTAGTATATTCCTGTTACATGTGTGTACCACTGTATTTTCTACCTTTTAACTGTTGCTAACAGAGATTCATAGTTGCCTATGTGCTTCTTTATTACAAGCACCCACAAGAAAAAAAAAAGAATCCTCTTCTCCACCTTCAGGATTATAAGGGATATAGAGACAAATCTATATTTTATAGACCAATCGACACTCAGTGGGTGATGTGGTAAACTCGTAAGAAGAATAACCGCTCTGTGTGTGTGTGTGTGTGTGTGGAGGGGGGGGGGGGGGGGGCTTGTATGTGTGTGATTCTAATACAGATTTACTTTTTTTGTTTTTAATATGACTATTAAAAAGTATTGAGTCTGTGGCAGACCTTCAAAGATAACTGGGATTTTGGCGGGTCTTATCTAATTAAGAACACTGCCTTACTCTATCAAAATCTTTTGTTTAGTCAAGGAGATGACCAACAACAAAAAACAGTGTAATTTATGCTATAGTGAGTAGGTCATTTATGTTGAAAAAACTGATGTGAAAATATCTTATACTTTGAGTCTTCTTACAGCCTTAAATTTTTAAGCATTATTCAAAGTTATAAATGCATAACTCCCAAAAAAACATGCCTTTTTTTGTCTTCTGTTTTATCCATTTGCACTCTCTCTCCCTCTCACTCTCTTGGGTAAGTGATGAAGCAGACAATGAGAAACAGAGGTTAATGATTTAAATCTACATCAAGCTTACTTTTCTATCTCTGTAGCTGTCAGTCTGGATGATGTTGTGAAGTCCACATTTGATCTGATTTCATTCACAACCTAACAAATATGGAATAATATGATTTCTGACAAGATTTTATTTAGTCTAGAAAACATTGCATGACATAATTATTGCCAGGATTTTCGTTTAAATTTGAACAAATATTACTTATGACCATTTACGACATTAACATAACATATATGGAATAATATCATATCAGCCATGATTTCATTCATGATCTTACGCATATGAAATAATACAATATTTCAAGTAATTTCATTCACAATCTCACAAATATGGCATGCGACTGTGTTTACAATGAATCCGCTGCAATGTTATGTCAGCTGATGCCATCACTGAAAGCTGGACTGTCACACTTTGTAAGAGGTCTAGGAGAGGAGCAAGCTATAGCAAGGAAACTTCCTAGAGAAAATCAGCATCATAGTATCACCACACCCGCACAGGACTTTACAGTCATAGCAAACTCTATTCGCATAACAAGCGGCACAGCTACATGGTCCCTAGGGACTAACGGGTGAGTACGCAATATGGTCAGGGAAATCCTGTCTAACCATAAGTGGGTTCTTTATTAATATCTTACCTCAGATTACGTCACAGGACAGTTCAAATTTTTGTGCATGGTAAGACTGAGTTTCCCAGCTTTCTTATGCTTTTAACGACCCCAAAAAATCTAGAACTGGGCCTAACCCCAACCCAGTGCAGCCTAGGCCCCACGATTGCATGCAGCCTATCTACCACCCCCCGAAATATTAGACTGTCCCATGACCTGTGGATTACCCCTGTTTGGGATAGGACTAAGTCATTCAGTTTGGAAGTGGGGGAAAAAAAGATAGTTTGTGGTTTGTGTGATGCTCTCAGTGATCAGTCACTCTGCAAAGACAGAGTCTTACAGGATAAAACCCAGTGTAATGGAGTTGATGTTCTTGCCCTTAAACACCTCTTCAGTTGATTTTGTAATTTTACATTCTTCTTCTTCTTAATATTCACTAGCTGTAAACTCTAGCAAAAAGTCTTAGTTGTCCATGCACTTCTGGACTTCGGTCTTGTTCTAGAACTTGTGTGTGCACATCTGTTTACAGATCTGGCTCATCTGTATGCAGGCTGAGTGGGTCCTCATCTCTCTCAGGCAGGTGCACTCCGACTTCAAAGGGAAAAACTCCAATAGTAGCCTTCTATTACATCCTTGTTAGGCGGACAATGGGTTTATTCCTTTATTCCCCCGAAAAACGGGGTCCTGGAATCCACAGACTAAGTTTTGACATGAATATGTGAAGTCCGTGTTCAAGGAGATTGAATGTATACATAAATCCTTGCAGCTGTGGCACATAAATCCCTGCAGCTGTGGCACATAAATCCTTGCAGCTGTGGCACATAAATCCCTGCAGCTGTGGCACATAAATCCCTGCAGCTGTAGCACATAAATCCCTGCAGCTGTAGCACATAAATCCCTGCGGCTGTGGCACATAAATCCCTGCAGCTGTAGCACATAAATCCCTGCAGCTGTGGCACATAAATCCCTGCAGCTGTGGCACATAAATCCTTGCAGCTGTGGCACATAAATCCCTGCGGCTGTGGCACATAAATCCCTGCAGCTGTGGCACATAAATCCCTGCAGCTGTAGCACATAAATCCCTGCAGCTGTAGCACATAAATCCCTGCGGCTGTGGCACATAAATCCCTGCAGCTGTGGCACATAAATCCCTGCAGCTGTAGCACATAAATCCCTGCAGCTGTAGCACATAAATCCCTGCAGCTGTGGCACATAAATCCCTGCAGCTGTGGCACATAAATCCCTGCAGCTGTAGCACATAAATCCCTGCAGCTGTAGCACATAAATCCCTGCAGCTGTAGCACATAAATCCCTGCAGCTGTAGCACATAAATCCCTGCAGCTGTAGCACATAAATCCCTGCAGCTGTGGCACATAAATCCCTGCAGCTGTGGCACATAAATCCCTGCAGCTGTGGCACATAAATCCCTGCAGCTGTGGCACAAATATTCTGCATTATGGATGAAAATAAAATTTACCTCCAAAGCTTCTTGGGGAGAGACAGACTCCAGCAAAAAGTTAACAACAATAGGCAAATCATGGATGCTGAAAGACTTTAGCATTTCTACAACTGAATTACGCATCTGAAAGACAATTAGGAAAACAATGTGTTACATGTGAACAGTGTGTATGAAACATTCACTATTAAGATTATAAAGAATTTATTACCTGTGTATAGTGTGGAGGTTAAAAAAAAAAGTTACTTCTGCATCCTTTAAAGGACATCACAGAACTAAACCCAGCAATTTTTGTGTGTGTGGCTGTTTGGTTGTCTTCAGCATCCTGTCACGGAAATATTTTGGTGATATCAAGTGCCATGACGGATAGGAAAAAATTATAGCAGAAGGCATGGTACCAGGAAGGAGGAGCAGGGACCAACCGACATGAAGATGGGCACAGGATATAAGTGACTCTTTGAGTATGAAAGTACATGAGGCGGGAGAACTGGAAAGAGACCGAGCTTCTTTCAGGCAGACCGTGATGAGAGCGACGTTCTGCAAAGGACCTGCTACATGATGATGATGATGGTTGTCTTCAACTGGTATGAATTGTTTTCTGTATAGATTTTTTAAAACTTTTTCGGTACCACACAGCTGTTACTTTAACTCGTTTGATTTAAATCAGATGTCCTTTCAAACCAATTAAACTTTTATTCTGAGGAAGGCTGAAAAAAATAACCTACTGAACCGATGGAGTAAAGAAAGAAAGAACCGAGAGTGAGTTCTTCTTAATTAGAGTTGATCGGGAAAGGATATAAACTCCAGCCACATCAGGGTCGATAATATGAAAAATAAATGAACAGAAATTAAGTATTTGGGTGCAAACTTCAACTGCTCCACCATGTTGAGAGAAGAAATACAATCTAGAATAAAATCTGGAAATAAAGTATACTATGCCCTTTAACATGTGCTAAAGTCAAAGTCTCTATCTTACAACTCCAAGATCACAACATATAAAACATTGATGAGACCAGCTGTTTTATATGGCCCTAAAACTTGGAGCATAGCTAAAAAAGTTGAAGCCTCAAATTTTAGAATTTTCAAAAACAGAGTCTTATGATGAATCTTTTGGTCCATTAAAGATACAAACAGCGGGTAATTGAAAGTGAGAAGCAACAATGAAATTCATAACCTGTTTAAATCACCACTGATCACTGGCATAATGAGGGCTTCTTCTTCTTCTTCTTCTCTTCCACCTTGTACCTCATCGAAGTGTCGGGGGGAGATGTAATGTTCGTTGATGAGCTCTGTCAAGAGCACTATTAAGACTGATGTTCATTTCTGTAAGGCTGTTCTTAATGCCATCACTCAATCTTTTCCGAGGTCTTCCACTCGCTTTATACCCGTTGTAACGTTTTAGTGTGGCTCGCTGTGGCAGATAGTACCAGGGCATTCTTGTTAGGTGTCCAAACCATTTCATTTGTTGTTCTTTGATGACCTGTAAGACTGGCTTTATTCCTAGCATTCGTCTGATTTCATGATTTTGTATTCTGTCTTTCCTTGAAACTCCTGCAGCTCTTCTAAGGCATTTCATCTCTGTTGTCACAATTTTACGTTCATTGGAGGATGTAAGTGTCCACGTTTGGCACTGATAGCATAGTATTGGCCAAAAAATAGTTCTGATAAGATTCACTTTAGTACTCTGAGGTATCTGCTTGTGTGTCAACAGGGGAGATAGTTGGCCCATTACTTGATTAGCTTTGGCACATCTGGAGCTAATTTCTCTGTCCAGAGAATGAGGGCTAACAGACTGAAATGGCTGCGGCATACTGAGAGAACGTCAGATGACAGGGAGGTAAAAACTGTATACACAAGGGAGCTGAATGGTGGTAGACCACAAGGCAGACCAAGAAGACAATAAAGTGATAATATCCTGACAGACCTACAAACACTTGGTGTCACCAGTAGGAAAAAGAAGGCCAACCAGAGAGATAAATGAAAGCGGGTGATATCAGCAGCAATGAACCTCAAGGGCTCGGAATGCTGAAGACGAAGAAAAAGAAATATTTCAAAAGCATGCTTGCTTGGTGGCCAAATGGACATATTTTCAAATCTCAACTTAGAGGGATTGTTAAAAATTGCCTAAGCTCCGGGTTGACGATGTCAGAAAATTTCCTGAGAAGCAAAGATGGCCAGCACGACACTGAACATATTCCCTAGAGAGTGAATGATGCCAAAAGGCTACAAAAAATAACATTACAATCAATGACCTACCTCTGTGACCAAGTCTGCGGAAATGTTCAAGTAGGTCAGAGCATCAATCACTGAACATGTCAGCTCAGTGTTACTTCTCAGCTCATCTCTACAGTAAACAACAGACAAGAGTAAGACACAATATATTATCAGATGCTGACAAAATGTCAATAGTCTGAATGAAATATTACCACTGAATTATAAACAAGCCATTCTGTATATGTTTAGACAGACTAAGTACACAAGGCTCACAAAGAGGGCAGTAAGACTGGTTTTCTGAACAGCAAGAAAATGTGACATAAGTGAAGCCTTTATAATTCCATAAAGATTTGCTAAGAATGTAGTCATAAAGTCAAATAATTTATCTACAGAAACAAAAAAAATTAAATATTTGAAAATGAGCCATTATAAACACACAATAAACAACCCACTGTGATTTATTAACAGTGTTAGCTGAGAAATGTTTTTCTACTTTTGATTTAATAGAGTCTGGCTAGTCTATTTGATGGTTAACTCTTTCAGTACTGGGCAGATATTATTTAACTCCTTTTATACCAGAAAGTTGTTTATTTCAATGAATAAATGTTTGGGTCAGAATGAGTGGAGACAACAACACCACAGATGTTGATTGCTTAATTAGGAATTGAAATGGCAGCACTCGGGACACTCTCACAAGCGCTCTGTCCCCATCTTCAACAGCAAGCGAAAAGTTCCAATTCTGATGGCACCTGTAACTGTCTGACAGTATATCCGTCTCGCACTTCCCTTAAGTGTTGAGCGTCAACCAGATCCTCTGGTAACTCCTTGCAGCACCATTCTTCTCAGACCGTAATGATCTATTTGTGACTCTGCACTGTTCAATCGCTCTTGAATGGCCCTCATAAATCTAGCTTGTCATTCATCAATTCACTACTAAGTGGTGCAGAACTGTCCAGTATATCTGCCTGCCCATTTCCCAACACACTGGCATACCTAGAGAAAATATAAAAAGGACGTTAACTAACAGGACCTCTGAAGCGATGCTTGCCACTCTGCACGGAGCACGCCTATCTCGACCTTCCTCATCATGCACTGAGAGTCAGTTACAATTACAATATATGTGTTCAGCTGATTCTCAAGCCAGTGGAAGGCAGCAGTGACTGCCTCCACCTCGATTCTCAAACTAGATATTGTGATATTGTATGCCAGGCATTGCTGCAATAAGTATAAGTGACGTCCATTCGCTTTTGCTATTAGAACACTATGAGGGAGAAGTAAAGTATCACGGCAAAGTCCATCAGCCCAATAACAAGGTTTGGTTTAAGGGGTTAAGGAAACTGAACAACACAGATCAGCAAATGCATAGTGTTGCTTGGTAGTAAAAGAACTTATCACTACCTTCCAGTGGAGTTGGATACAAGCGTGAGAGTGAGATTGGTGAACTGCGCAACTCCTCCTCATTAAAATCTGAATTAATCATGCAAGTCACCATTTCATCCATTCAAGGCTACATCTCTTCCCAATAATATGCCAGACTGAGACTCGTACAAGACAAGAAAGATGTGTCAATTATCCAGAGATGAACAGAGGTATTTAAAACATAAAAACGATGAGCTAGATGGCGCAACCCATGCTGCTCAAATCCCCTGCCAATACCATAGGGGAATACTCAGTGTCATTAATCTTACTAGTCATCTACGTACTTGCAAATCTCCCTATATTAACAGAGGAAATAAATAAAATTGTATCTGTTGTGGATGAACAATACACACACTATCATCAACACTGGAAGGAAAGACAAAAGATTACCGGAGTTTTTTGGCCACATCCCCATGTTCGGTGTCTTCTACAATGTCTGGAATACAAGCCATGATCTCCTTCTGCACACCTACTGATGTAATGTTGAGGATTTCCAGAAGCTTCTTTGATAATTCCTGTTTGTAAAGAAAAGTTTTTTGTGTAATACATATTAAACTTGCAAAGACTTTTTAATTTGAAACAGTTACTTAATGACAACCTCTCTGATTATTCATTACAGCTATTAAAAGTTATAATTCTTTGGTGTGCTGGTGATGCTATTCTCAACAAATGTGTCATTAATTTTAAAACTGTATTCTGAAGAATGCTGTATAAATACTACAACCAACATTTTAGAAAACAGGTCGAGAAGAATTGTTTGCCAGCCTGAATGACTTGTTTGGTTCTGTGAGGTTTAGTTATAGCATATATGTTGATATTTGAGAATGTACAGTACAACAGGTGAAACATCGAATCGATTCGAGGTGCAAAAGGGAGTGAGGCAGGGGTGCATTCTCTCACCATACTTATTCAATATATACTCAGAAAATATAATGAGAAATGTCAAAAATGACCAGACTTGTGACAGTTATGATCCGCTCAAAATTGGTGGCAACCCTATTCTGGAACTTCGCTACGCAGATGACACAGTCCTCCTTTCAAACAGCATAAAGGGAATAAAATATGTAATATTGTCTGTCCAAAAGCACAGTGAAGATCAAAATCTGTTCTTGAATTTAAAGAAAACAAAAATAATGTCCACAGATTAAACTGGCTGTCACCCAAAAATAACAATAAATGATGAAGAAATAGAAAATGTCACAAACTTTGAATTCCTAGGCTCTATAATAAATAGCAATGGAGACTGTTTGACAGAAATTAAAAGGAGGATGGCCATAGCAATGCAAAGATTAAACGGCATTAAAAGTCTATGGTGAAGCACCAGCAAGGAGATCAAAATTAGAATTTTGAGAGCATGCATCTTCCCTGTGGCTACATACGGGTGTGAGTCGTGGACTATCTCCCAGTCCTTAAGAAAGAGAATAGGGGATTTTGAGCTGAGATGCTATAGAAAGACTCAGAATATCTTGGACAAAGAAGAGAAGAAATAATGACATCTTGAACGATCTGAACATCAAGGAAGATTGGCTGATAAACAGCATCTTGTCTCAGAAGCTGAAATATATTGGTCATATCAAGTGCCACGACGGATTGGAAAAAAAATAATAGCAGAAGGCATGGTACCAGGAAGGAGGGGAAGGGGCCGACCAACATGAAGATGGGCACAGGATATAAATGACTCCTTGAGTATGAAAGTACATGAGGCAGGAGAGCTAGTGAAAGACCCAGTTTCTTTCAGACAGACTGTGATGAGAGCGACGTTCTGCAAAGGACTTGCTACATGATGATTACAGTACAACAATATCAAAGCAGCAGGAAAAGAAAGAGTAGATGCAGGAAGAAGAAGAAAAGATCTGTTAGTATGACTATTATATACAACACTGTTTGATTGCACAATGCTAAATGTGCATGATAAGTAACATCTACAGTAAATCGAAAACTTGTATGAATGGATTCATTTAAGCCACAAAACTAATGTCAAGTCCATATGACCCCAGGCAAGTAATTAAGTTAGCGGTGAAATAGAACATAAACGGAAATAGCAAAACAGCACAAAAGAACTATGAAATGAATTATATAACTGTAAAGACCAACAGCTTTCCAAGCCTTCCTTTCCTTTCAGAATTCTCATATTTTCAGCTTAGTATAGTCACAAGTACAATCAACATGAGATGGAGATTGTGGTAGTCACCGCTGATCTTTGATGGGTACCTGAAACTCAATACACTGTGAGATGTGGGCTTTTGTGCCATATCAATCTGTATTTTATCAGGTCAATTTCAGGTAAAGACGATTGACTTCATCACAAACGGTTTTTATCCCATATAGTTCTGTTTCTCTGTGCAAAATGCCTGACCACGCTGCATGCTGAGAACATTACACAAAGCAAAGTGGTTTGTAGCTCCACTGATGTTGTCCAGAGAATCTCCATCAGAAGCAAATGGCTTCGGTAAAAAAAAAAAGTATGAAGTGACAAGAGGGTTAATGTTTCTAGCTTCAATGGTACCAAAAGTGATGACTCTGGGGAATGATGATGGACCGATAATACATTCTGTACGCTAAGTTGCTGTAAGCTAAAACTAAGATGAATTCTGAATATAGTGTAAATAATAAGTTGCTATAAGTTTAAAGTGAGGATGAATATATTGTATATACTAAGTTGTTGTAAGCTTAAAGTGAGGATGAATGATGAATATATTGTATAAAATAAGTTGCTGTAAGCTTAAAGTGGTAATGAATGATAGACATGTTGTACGAGGGTAAGTCAATAAATAAGTCACAAATGGTTGGTAAAAATAAATTAAAAAATTGAAGATAACTTTAATACCGTTTATTTTTACACATACACTGTCCCTTTATTTTTCAATACAATTTCCACCAACATTGATGCACTTATCCCATTGTTCTATCAGTCCTCCTAAACCTGCAGCACAGAAATGTGTGCTCTGTTTTCTAAACAACATTTTCACTTCACATTCAACTTCTGCATCATTCGCAAAATGTCTCCCGCCGAGGCGGGTTTTCAGTGGACCAAAAACCAGGTCAGCACCCTATTTCTTCTGCTACAGAGTTAATCATAACTCGTCTGTCATCTCTAATCATCTCTTCCACTCGCTGCAGGGATGTGTCTGTTGCAATCTCAACAGGACGATCAGACTTCATCAACAATCATAGAGCGTCTCTGAGAAAAATTGTTTACCCAGCTATGCACCGCTTTACGGGTAAAATATTTGTCAACATAAACATTGAGCATTTCCTTATGAATGTTCTTTGCAGCAGCCCTTTTGCCCCCCCCCCCCCCCCCCCAAAATGAGAGTTCCCTTAGTGCTATGATAGCTTAACAGCGCTATGATTGCATACTAGCACATTAATCTACCATCAAAAATATATTTTATAAATATCCTACAAAAATAAGAATTTATCCTATGAGAAAGATTTATTATTATTTGTCAACATAAACATTGAGCATTTCTTTATGAATGTTCTTTTCAGCAGCCCTTTTGCCCCCCCCCCCCCCCCTTCCTGTAAAATTTTCAGATTTAAGATAAACAAAAACAAATAAATCACCTTGCCATCAACAATTCTGTCAAGAAAACGGAACTGACTCAGCAAAAGTCGAGGGACATAAATCTTCTGGCCTTGATGGAAAATAAAGCTGGCAATAAACAAATAACCAAAAACGTGTTAGCACTCTTTCATTAAAATAATGTTTAAAGAATTTTACTGGTCTTCTTACGCTTCCATTTACCTTATAAAATTTCTTCTTGAGCATTCAGAGCCCTTGAGATTGATTGTTGCAGATATCCCCTTCCCCCATTCATTTGGCCTTTCTTTCCAGATGGTGACTTCAGGTGTCTGTAAGTCTGCATGTATTTTATCTCTCCACAATCTTCTCAGTCTGCCTCATGTTCCATTCCCATTCAACTCTTTTGTGCGCATAATTGTTGTCTCTCTGTTATATGCCACTCTCTCTGTGCCTCAAACATCGACATCTATTAGCCTTCATAGTGCTAGTATTTAGCGGTGATATAAACAGATTATGAGTTCACTGTTGCTAAATTTTTTAGCTTCAAATTTTCCTACAACTATAGCGTAAGAGGTAATTTTGTGGACAATGTTTCTTATGCCGCTGGAAACGTCTGCCCACAAAACTGTAGATTTTTAATTTTGTACATTTGTGCATATTTAGCTGCATACTGCCAGTTTCCTATTACAATATTTTCTAAGTGCTCTACTCATGTTGCTTTGCTTCTAGACCAGTTTTCTTACCTGTTGTGTTCTGACTGTGCTTTATTGATGTCATTTCATACACGATTTTGTGTCCCTTTTCTGTGACTTCCACATATTTCATTGCACTTTAGAAGTTCCTATTGTGTTCTGTATCAAATGCTTTGGCCAATAAACAATGTGTGCCCTTTATTTTGTTTTAGGTAATAACCAAATATTCATACAGGTCAGGATAAGTGGCCCAAGATTAATTTATCTTGCCTTTTTGCCTCCTTTGGTCGTTGGAACTCTCCTATGCTGCAGGGGAGTCATGTCTTCCTTACTGTGAAGGCTTTAACCGTTGCCTCTTTCTCGTCTTTTCACAACTCACTTGCGTTGTTATTATGTTCTGCTACCTCCGCGACGGTTCGGGAGTACAGAAAAGTGATATTTTTCTATTCCTACACTCCTTGTAACTGCTTTCTTTCTCTTGGCCACGAGCCACCGCCAGCGAACGTAGAAATAGAAAAAGATCCCAGTTTCGATAGACAAGAATCGTCGTGCCTGCGGCACTTCCCCCTGCAGTACTTCTTACCTATACATATGCGCCTGAAATAGACTCACAACAATGCAACCTTCCAGAAACATTACATACTATGATAAACGCCAAAACAAGCCATATCATTATACCCTTGCAACAAAGGAGAGGTCCAGTGACCTAAGGAGACATGAATGGCAAGGAAAGTTACTCTAATCCTGGGTCGCTTATAGCGACCAGTTCCCAAATATTTTATTAAAAGTTAAAACCAAGAAAACTATCACATTTGTGTTTGTTATAGATTAATTTATATGGGGTTTAAGACTGTTTTTAGCCAACTTCGCCCCCATAAATCCATATTCACTATTAGCAGATTGAAGAACTAGTCATAATTACTTGTGATGGCCAAACAACATCATGGCTTGTCATCTTCAATATGAATGCTTTTAACTGTAAAGAACTGCAAGAAACAAAAGATATGATACTAAGCCACAGTGCATGGTCAGACACAGGCAGCTGAAAAGTCTTCATTCACATTCAGATGAAGCTTTTCAGAAAGACATAATTATATGTAAAAGAAGTGAACTGAAACTCACTCATCTTCTCCTCCCTGAAACTCTGCTAGTTTGTCCAGTAACACTGTCATCAATGGTGACTGAAAATAGACAAAATTATTGCAGATGAGAATTCTTCCTAAAAAGAATTACCACTGGACATTTGTGACATGGAATCTTTCATTTTACTTGTCATCTTGTACCACAGGCAACAGATCACCTCTACTGAAAACCAGAACCTGGAGACAGTGATACAGTGGGGAGTGTCTGGAGGCTCTGGGCGCCCCTCAAGACTCGGGGCAAAGGCAAGATAGGATGCTGAACCTTACCCAGATGAACAGGAAATCATATATTTGACGATTAAAAAAAAAAAAATGGTTAGGGTGACCATATCGCCGGGGCAGTATCGTTTTTTAAGTAAGATCCACACAGTTCTGTTGACATTTTTTTTTTAATCCATCATTTCAATTGAGATTTTTTTTTAGTATCGATGGAATGATCTAGGCCTACATAAAATAACTATAGTGTCCCTGCAAAAAATGGGACTTATGGGCCCCTACTTGTGATATGAGCATTAACAAACTTCAGGACTGAGTCCATACAGTTTACAGTGACAGGTAAAATGCATTTGTCGTAAGATTTAAACCCACCTGAATAACATCCACACCCAGTAGTAGCCTGACTGTTGAATCTCCAACAGTAGAGGTCTGTGTACTAGAAGACAACAATAATAACTCATTACAAGCATTATACATTGTCCATCAAATTCTCTAGAAGGTAATTAGATCACATTACTACTATTACAAATCTTATATCAAATTCTCTAGAAGATAACAAAAAATTAATGGCATTTCAAATCTTCCATCAAATTCTCTAGAAGATAAAAACATTATATTACTGATATTTCACATCTTCCATCAAATTCTCTAGAGGATAATAGCATTATATTACTGATATTTCACATCTACCACCAAATTCTCTAGAAGATAAAAACATTATATTACTGATATTTCACATCTTCCATCAAATTCTCTAGAGGATAATAGCATTATATTACTGATATTTCACATCTTCCACCAAATTCTCTAGAAGTTAACAACATTATATTACTGACATTCCTATCCTTCCATCAAATTCTCTCGATCAATGGCTCCTAATCAGATAAGACCTGCCTATCCCTCTTATTTCAAAGGTCTACGCCAGAACGCAATAACTTTTCAGTCAAAAAAAAAAAAACCTTGTTTAAAAAAAAATGTTTATTGGAAAAAATGGAGTAAATCTATATTGTCTTTGTCTTCTCTTATGGATTTTCAGACCTAGCTGTTGTGGTTTCAGCTATAATTTGACGGAAACAGAGATGACTGCTTTCGAGCTGACAGTGAAACTGAATCAACTTAAAAATTAACAGGAAAGCCCAAAATAGGAAAGACACATTCGGATAAAAGTGAGCAATTAGATCAAACATTTTATTAATAAACACAAAAATGTGTAGACAATAACAGCAGCTGCTCAAATAAAACATGTACCACTAATTTACTAAAGGCAGTTTGAATGGTAAATTTAAAACAAGCACACACATAAATTCTTTAGCTTTGTAACACACAGTGGTACCTTGCAATTCAAACGCTTGAAAATCTAAACAATTTGGAATCTGAACAAAATTTTCAAGTAAAGTTTGCCTATGAACTTGAATGCTGCCTTGGAAAACAAATGTTTGCCATGTGCTATCCAGTTGGTACTAAACAGCACCTCCTACTCTTCAGTTTGTTTTTATGCTATTCCGGACGCGTTGCATTTCGTCTCATCACCTCAAACTATTTTTGCAGGTGGCACCCTGATAGAGGCCTAGTTAATGAGTGTGTTAACTTATTCAATGATAACATTATCAAATATTTAAGAAAAATCAAAATCGGTCACCTACATCAGAGCACTTGGAAAGCTGGCTCTCAACAAAAACTAGTGACCCCAAACCTTCTACAACTGGTGAAAGGCTACGATTTAAAACACCATGGAGATGACTCACCCTCTAAACAATAATCCCCCCAAATTTCCCATCCTCCTCCTACATCTATGTGCTGCATCACGATGTTTATCAAGGTACAGAAAATACAGTATTTTATATTTTTTCTTTATTATTTTTGTTGTTATTTTTTAATAATATAAGCGTACAGTGTTTAAGAAAACAAATTTTTAATCTGATTATGTTTGGACCCTGAAACAGATTAGTTTAGATATCATTATTTTGGGACAAAATGCCTTGGAACTTGAACGATTTGGAATTTGACCGTCATCTCGGAATTTATTCTTGATTTCTGAGGCACCATTGTATTTTTGCGTTATATCACTTTTTGTATCACTTTGAACTTTGCTGCAGATTTCAATATGTACAACAACAACAACAAAATTAAATATCAGAAAATTACAGCAGGACTGTCACACTAACCTCTCACTGTCTGTGGCAACTAGGCAAGGCATTAAACTTTTGTGAAACCTGTAACAATTACACACAGAGAGAAATGAATGCATTTATACCTATGTGTGTATGTGTGCTTGCAGCTTGTGTGCAGTAGTAGATTCCAGTTTAAATAACAACAGATAACCGATCCAACCAATGTGAGGCCTTCTCTATTAATTCAATCAGAGCATACAAAAGAGATCTGGCCTTGCCAATAGCCACTTCAATCGTCTCTGTATAACATGTAGGAGGTACTAGTTTCATTTTATGCAATTTTTTCAAGGTATACAAAGAAGATATCTGCATCATATAATCACTAGGCCCATCCGTATAACATGAGTAAATACATGCTCTATCCCCTCCTCAGCAGCCAACAAAGAGTTTTCATGCTGATGGTGTCAGTTGCAACCCGATTAAAAGTTTGCCTGTTTTTCGCCAGCAGGTAGAAAATTGCCCAGATCCTCCGTTCACTCCCAGCTGAAGACTTTTTTTTAGGGTATGGATGCTCTGTAATGTTGTGCCTCACACAAGCTAGTGAAGAGGCTAATATAAATGTTTTAGAGGCTTGTGTCATGGCTCAATAACAGATCTACAATTCCGAAGATTTAGCAAGGTCTTCTTCTTTTGTCGCCTCACTGATACCAGGTTGTAGCCCAGTGGTTTTGGTTTTCTGTATTTGTCTTGCACTTCTTGGGTATCTTGGGTGATGGATTTGTTCGACTTTTTTTGCAAGTTTCAGCTACATAATTTATCCATCTGTTTCTTGTGTCTTTCCCTCACCTTCCTCCAACATGTTATGCTGTAAAAAGTCTCATATGCAGTTTTGTTTGGCTGCATTCTCACAAGATGGCCAAACCATTTCTTTGTTTGGCATCTTATTCCATGGTCAGATCTTAAAATTGCAGACACTGACTATATTTGCACCTGGCCTTCATGTTCATTCAATAAATTTATAACTCAAACACTCAAATATATATAAATTTTTTTTTTTTTTTTTTTGCAAAAACAAATTATTTTATTGTCTGATGTACCCTCATGACAATTTTTTTTAAAGCACATATCTGTTTAAAGAACTGCAAAAATGATATGATATTCACCTTAGTTAAATTTTGTCTACATTTACAAGTCTTCAGGCTCCTTGCTGCAGATATCAAACCACCTCCACTCATTTCTGTAAATGGCCCTCTCTTTCCAGTTGATGACTCAAAATTTACAATTACAATGCAAAAATAAAATATAATTATTACTTTATACTCCATAAATCATTATTGTGATCATCTATACCTCTTTGAATCTTCAATGTACTCTCCAAAGTCTTCAAGAAACATCTCAACATTCTGAAAAGTAATATACATAAAATGTCATTTATAAGCTATTTCTGCTACTTATCTATATGTAAAACATATAGTTCAGGGCTTATCTTTCAGTCACACAATACCTGATATCGTTTGACATTTGGAGAGTCCCTGCAATGCTGAAATGGAAAGATAATAAATGTGCACATTATTAATGCTTTGAATTCTCTCTCTAGAACACGATCCCTAAAAGTCGGGTTTGTTTACAATGAGACAGAATCTAAGTGGAACGGAATTAAACTCATCATGTCATACAAACAGAAGAAGCTAATTACCTCCAGCAGACCTCCTGCATGATTTTTTAGAGCTACTCCCAGCTGTTTCTGGAACACAGCTTTAGATACACCTAAAGGATATCAATAAAACAGTTACTGCCTGCTTGAAACTTAATATGAAATCAAAACATGTTAGTGTGTAGCAATGTCAGTATGTATAAAAATAAAAAATAAATAAAAATAAAATAGAGCTACTGCCCCCCCTAACAAGCATGCCGTAAAAGGCAATTAATTAGGGATGTGTCAATCTAATTCAAGTACACCTGCCTGAGAGGCCAAAAAACAACAGCCTGCACAAAAAGCCAGATCTGTAAAACTGATGTGCACTAAGAAAATCAAGTTATGGAACAAGATCAAAATCCAGAAGTGGACGACTAACCAAAATTTCCTGCTGGAATTGACAGCTGGTGAACACACAGAAGAAAGAAAAAACTCAGTAGTCAAATTCTACAAATAATTAGCTAAGAAATGTTTTTGGAAGTAAAGGTGACTGACGTGGTGTTGAATTCATCACCCATAGACTGGACTATTTTGTTCGTCCATCACCAGTGATGAAGACAACTTTCATCCAAAGTAGTAATGATCAATGATTATGAGTACGAAGGTGGCTGATTAGTCCAATATGAGCCCGTAAAGTTCTTGGGCAGTGCAGACAACAGATGGAAGCCGCAGTAAATGTGGAATTAGCAGTACGATTCTTTCTAGTCTGCCTCCGTTTCTCTGCCTGTGCAATCTCCCCTGCCTGGCAAGCTGATGCACCATGTGGGACGTACACTATCCAGAACGGTCTTGCGCTGCAGCCTCCCCCTGGTCAATAACAATATGGATTAAGCACCAGACATTTGATGAATCAACGACACAGAAAAGGATCACTTAATTCAATTCCTTTTACTTTTTATGGACATAAAAGTTTTGAAACTAGCGAAAGAATTCTCAAATTAATGACAACCATAAACATGATACAATAGGGATGAGGTCAGATCAGATGATTAAGCTATTATGAAAAAATTTTAACTTACGGACTTCATTTGGTGTATCCTCATTGTATAGCTTAAGTCCTGCTTTTGTGATCAAGTCACAGAGTAAGTTTTTCTTGTCATATACTTCACTCTTGGATCGTTTAGCATCACTGCCTGCCACTGTAAACAAAAAAATGACACAGTTATTCAGTAAATGTTTAAAACTGGGGTGATCACAGTTGAGTTGACCTCAAGAAGTAAATTAACAAACACAAACTATGATACACAAACTATGACTAGAAAGATCAAGAGATAGTAAAGGAAAAGTTTAAGTGTAAAACTAAGTTCTAATGGCACATTTCTTCCAATATGATTGTTTCTGTCTGAAGAATAACAAGACAACTGCCAAAAGTATTGCACAAAGCACAAACTCCACAGCTCCAGACATAATCCTAAGAGGTGCGATGCAAACAACTTAGCCAGTTAGCCATGGATACCCTCAAGAAAGGAAAAGGTGATAAAGAGCGGTCAAAATGTCCAGTTGTATTTTTTGTTTTTTCCTTTCCTGTCAGTTTGTGTTACAATAATTTACAGTGGAATCTCAGAATATGAATTTAATCTGTTCCATGACTGAGCTCGGTTGGTAAATAACTCGCATCCTGTGTTGGTTTCTTATTCTTCTTTGGTTTCCTGCACAGTGCTCGACTGGCC